GCACAAATATTGACTGCTGTAGAATTAGCACCAATATAAAGTTTACCCACAAGGCAATAAAAGGTTATTCTCCTTCCCACACAGGTGGAAAGCATGACAATGCATTTTTATACTCAGCGTGTTTCATGTGTGTGATTACTTAGAAAGCACAAGTAAATTGTTGGAATGTTCTGCTTTTTGCTGCATTTAAAATGCATCAGCATCTTAGAATTTGCACGAGAAATTTGTGCTTGAAAAGCTTTATCAACTGATATCTAAGAGGAAAATCTACTTGTCAAGCAATATTGTCCTCACAATAGCACATAAATCCAAAGAAATGAGAGAGAAATTGAATCAGATTCTAGAACAAATGATTGTGTGTAAGGAAATTTAATCTTTGATAGGCAATCTTTATGTCATAGTAATCAAACAACCTATCCTTCAGTTATGGATTTTACTAAAAATAATGATATGGATATGTCAGAAGTGATATAAGGAAACTAAATTTCCCTTTGTTTTAGCAGAGACTAACAGCAGAAACAAGGAATTTTCATGCATGAAGAAACACAAAGGTAGCTACCAGCTAAAACAGCCAGAGAGATCAAGATGATAATGCTGCTTCTGCACAGTGGGCTAGATGGTGAGGTGGAGTGGGAGAAGGGATATAGAATTATTTCAACTATCCAGACATACCATGTTAAGTGACGCTTAAGACCTGTTTGAAATCAGTCATGACTGTACCGCACGGTGTCACCAGCTGATGCAGGTGTAGGTGGTCATACCAGCCAGGCTAGTTCGTACTCTGGATCTCGAGGCAAATGACGCACAAATGGTTCAGCTCTAGAACCTCTCTGCATAGAGCTGTGTATTCAGCAATTCTCATGCATCTTTGTTAACTAACAGAGAAATAATTTCCTTTTAGGTGACCTTGAGGCCACTATATTGTTTGAAATATTAGATGGGAAAGTGCTTTGTAAAGATAAAGCAGTACCCTAAGTTCTTTCCACCTGGGCACTACTGACATTTTAGGCTAAATAATTCTGTCTTGCAGGGGTGACCTGCAGTATCCCTGACCTCGAGTCACTGCTAGTTAGGGCCATATCTCTCTCAGCTGTATCAACACAAAAGTGCCTTAGACATTGCCAAGTGTTTCCTGGGGACAAAATCATCCTCTGCCACCATAGCACTCCATTGCTATACAAAAATGCATGGGGAAATAGCCCACATATCCCACACAGCACTCAGGAAAAGGATGCAAGTTTAGAAATGCCCCCAGAAGATTGCACAAGGATTTTGCTTAAAATCCTTATTCCTGTTTACATGTTTCCTAAGAAGTTCTGGAGTGTATGATCCTGAAGGAACTAAGTTTCTGGGCCATCTGGTGGAAGAGGGCAAGAGGGGTTTTCCAGCCTGTATTTATCCCGGGGCAGCTCGCAAGCAGGAAATGTTCAGGATGCTGCTTGGTCTCCAGTTCCTCCCCGGAAGTCTTGTGCTGTGCTGCTTCTTTGGCCCCGTTGATTCCGCCTGGCTACCTTTGCCACTCTGTTCCCATCTGTGAATTCACTGCAGTGCGCCTGCTACAGGAATAGAAATAGAAAGAGCAGAACAGGAGCTCCTGTTCTGCCAGGCAGGTGCTTGTGCCACTGAGCTAAGACCTCAGCCCTTTTTGGGGGGGAATGGCGAGCAGAGGGTCTCGGTTTCAGTGTGTAGTACAAGCTGGACTTGAGTTCACTATGTAGCCCAGGCTGGCCTTGAACTCATGGCAATCCTCCTGCCTCAGCCTCCTGAGTGCTGGGATCGCAGACATGATCTACCATGCCCAACCTTTTGTTCTTATAAGAATGTGAAATGTATAAATAAATAAATAAATAAATAAGTAAATGTGAAATGTACCTTTTACCCCAGGATTTTAACACTCAGCTGAAGAGTTTCTTTTTTTTTCTATCATTCTAAAGACTTAATTTCTTTACTCTTTTAAATGTATTAACGTAAGTTCCAGAGTGCAGCTTATAGCTCAAGTCTCTTGGTAAATGGGATGTAATTTGGAAGGCTTTCTTTATCTGCACTCTCAGCCCAGAGGGCTTCTCATTAGGCGCTGAGACACTGAAAGGAAAAAAAAATGTCTAAGAGATTAAACCTGGATGTGGAAGCAAAGGTCATTCACCATGCTGCCTGGGTTTGCAATGCAGCTGACATTTAGAGGGTCCCCAAGTGCTAACAAGCATGAAAGCCTCCTTCAGAGAAAAGGCCATGAGTCAGCATCCACCATTTATCACAGGCATTTCCCCAGAGCCACGAGCCTGGGCTAACCACAATTCTGCACAAAATGTTAGATATATAATAAGAACAATTGTAATCACTGCTGCTGATGTTGGCTTCCAAAGTTATACATGAAAGAATAAAAGCAAGCCTGGAAGTCAGAGGAAAGGAAAGAGAGCTTTGCATAGAAGGGACAAGAGGATCCCTGCATGCAGCTCAGCCAGAGAGAGGCAGAGCCAAAGCTGGAACCCTGGCTCAGCCCCTAGCAGATAAACGATCTTCAGTGTGTCCTTGGAGCCTCAAGAACCGATAATGATATTTATCTAGGAGCACTGTTAGTCAGCTCTCTGTCACTGCAACAGAGTATCTAAGGGAAATTCCATGGAAGATTTGCTTTGGCTCACAGTTTTGGAGGGTCCAGTCTATGGTTAGCCAAATGGCTTTGGGCTTGTGGCAAGGCAGCACATCATGGTGGGAGTGTATGGCAGAGCGAGCTGCTCACATCAGGGCTGCTAGGAACAAAAGAGAAAGAAGAAGAAAGGGCCAGAGTCTCAATGCACCTTCAAAGCCATGCCCCCAGGCCCTAACTTCCTTCCACTAAGCCTCCTATCCTACAGTTCTACTAGCTCCCAGTTGTGCTACAGGGTGGCACAAGTCTTCACACATGATCCTTTTGGAGACATTTAAGATTCTAACCTTCACAGCTGTGCTGAGAATAAACATGATTAGTTACCTAGAGTGAAGTCGCCGATGAGTGATTGGTTCCTTTCTTCTTTAAGAGTTTGGAGTGAAAGCTACACATGGCATACAGAGTAAGGCTCCTGTATTTACTGTGAACCTAACGAAGTAGTACTCACAATAAGCACGTGATTATTTCAGGCCTGACATCACAAATCTAGACAAGGACGTAATTTATAGTTTAGAAAAATCAGACATGTGGGGCTGGGGATTTAGCTCAGTGGCATAAGCACCTGCCTTGCAAACAGGCAGTCGTGAGTTCGATCCCCGGTACTGATAAAAAAAAAAAGATGTGTTATGATTGCAACTATATAACATTTTAATAAAGGCAAAACTCTAAAGACAGCAAAGAAATAAGTGGTGTCCAAGAGATGGAAAACAGAAAGGATGGATGGACAGATCACAGAGGATTTCTAGAGTAGCAAAACTATATGACACAGTGATAGGACATGTATCACTGTGTGTTCTTCAAAACCCATTGGACACTGATGGTAGGAGAGGGCCAGGAATGTTGCTCAGGGGAAGAACACTTGTCCAGAGTACATGAGGACCCTGGTTTGGTCCCTAGCACACTCACACAGATGCAAAACTCAAGAAAAGTGGGAAAGGCTATACACAGAGATGATGTTATGGTTTGAAAACTGGTGGTCAACTTAACGCCAGCTGGATTACATCAGCATGCATTGAGAGAAGATGCTCCACCTGAGGAGGGTTGCCAGCATAAATAGGTGGAGAAGAAGGGAGGTGTTAGAGAGGGAGGGATTGAGGTGTTAAGGAGGCATTGTGGGTTCTCCTACGAGTTGCTGTCTGAGCTGATGGTTCTCCTGGAAAAGCTTTGGTCTTCACATCAAGCATTGCTTCCTGGCTCTGGAGGGGAAGACATGTGCTGCCTGGTCTCCAGGATGAACTCATCACACTGCTTCCTGGCATGTACCCGACTGTGCTTGTGGTCGGAGGAGCTCGGGGTCTTCGTGTCACTGAGGACAGCTGTGGTGCCTTTCAGGCTAGCCCTGCTCTTTGTTGTGAATGTGACTTCTTGGCTCCAGCATAGAACCCTCATCCCACTACCACAGCTCCTTCATCCTGCTGGCACAGACTTTCTGGCTTCCCCCGCTGACCCTTGGGTCTTCCCGGCACGAATCCGTAAAAGAGACTGGCATGAGTCCTTCTTGTGGGCTCTGGACTTCCAGCTGGACTCGTGGAGGCATTGTTCTGAGCTCTGGGTTTTTATCTGGACTCATGTGAGACATTGCTATGGGGTTTAGACTCTTGACTAAATAATCTATGTCATTGGTGTTACAGATAGATTTCCTGCATTTTCCTGTGTTAACTTCTGGTGACTATTATAAAAATATTATAAACTCCATGTCCTGATCTGAATTGTTCTCTGTATAAAACCCCTGACTACAACAGATGAGATATATTATAACAAGGCTTCAAACTCCAGGCCAATGTGAGCAGGTGACTTTCCTAGATTTTAACTTATGAACCAAGAAAAAAACATGAATTTGAAAAATAAATGAGAAAATTGCCTGACATTGGAGGATCAGAAATGTAGGATAGGAGAAGAGGCGTTGGTGCCTGGTCTAGCTGCATGAGACACCAGCTCCTAATGCGTTCAGTAGAGAGAATATGAAAACAGAGAATCGTCCCCTGAAACCCAGGGCAGGGTCCCAGCAGGGGCCCAGGCCTCCCAGTGCCTGCAAAATGGGAGATGAGCTTTCATCAAGCGAGGCTCAGGGAGGTTCACAGATGCACCTGGAAACACAGACTAAAGCAAGACAGTATTTTAGTCATGCGTGGCATGAAAAGCCTATCTTGAGGAAGGGCATGATAAAAACAAGCAAGTCTGTAAGATCAGAGGTGTCCCCTGAGGAAAACAACTCCAGGTCTTGTGAAAGTCTCCCCAGGAAGCTACTAGAAACAATGAGGAAGTGGCTGCCACGTGATGAGCCCCAAAAGAGGTATTTAAGGGCCCCCAGCAGGAGGCAGCGTCAGACTCCTCTGCTCTCCTGAGTCCTCTCTCCTCCCTCACCTGCATCCTCTCTACCAACACCATGGGTTGCTGTGGCTGTGGAGGTTGTGGCGGCTGTGGCGGCTGTGGCAGCTGTGGCGGCTGCGGTGGCTGTGGCGGCTGCGGTGGCTGCGGTGGCTGTGGTGGCTGCGGTGGCTGCGGTGGCTGTGGCGGCTGCGGTGGCTGCGGTGGCTGTGGTGGCTGTGGCGGTTGCTGTGGCAGCTGCTGTGGTTGCTGCGGCTGCTGCTGCAGACCTGTAGTCGTCTGCTGCCGCCGCACCTGCTGCCGCCACACCTGCTGTCAATCCTGTGGCTGCGGCTCCTGTGGCTGTGGGAAAGGCTGCTGCCAGCAGAAGTGCTGTTGTCAGAAGAAGTGCTGCTGCTAGGGGGCTGCTGTCTCTGCAGCTCGGCTCTACATTGCTTGAGGTTTTGCTCACACATCTGTGAGGCTTGTCCTCCGCCCTGCCTGCCCCTTTTTCTCTGCTCTTCTGCCTGGGTGCCTTGAACTCTTCTTCCTGTCTCTCACTCTCTGGAGCTGCAGGCCACTTCTTTCCCCTCAGGGCATCACCCTGACTCCTTCCCCTTCTCCCTGTACATCCAGGCCTTGGCCTCCAGGAGGTATGTAATCTCTATCGTCTTTGTAATCTTGTCTGCATTTAGAAAAAAACATAAAACCCAGCATATATTATCAGCAACAGGTAAGAAGGTAGAGTCATTCATGTCAAAAATGCATTTATTTTGTAAGTTTAACAGAAAATCATGATAGTTACACTTTCCTGAAAAAAATTACTCACAATTAACTTTTTGTTATTATATATTGTATGTTTACTAGCTTGTTTCTTATTTCCAAGACTCTGTTTAAAGGTAAAAAGCAACTTTTTCTAAATAAATAAATAAACAAACAAACAAATTATCCTTTGTCTTTTTTATGTTTTTGTTTTATTGGAACCAGGAATCAAACTCAGGAGCTTGCGCTTGCTAGGCAGCTCTGTCCCTGCCTGTTTGTCCTTATTTGTTTTGTTTTACTGTTTGTTTGGTTTTTAATTTTTTTTATTTTTAAAGTAGTAAAATACAACAGAACAAGACAGAATAAAGCCAGCTGAGACCAAGTAGTGAAACTGGTACAGAACTTGACAGCAGGTGACCGGAATAACAGTAATAAATATCACAGTATATTTCATTATCTTTATAATAGTTGTTCTTTCAATCACGTATATTAAAGTGAGATGAAATACAGAACATTATAGAACTTATCAAAGCAGAATATTGAATAGAGCAGTACCACTAATCAAAATAAAGCAAAACAGTGATAAAAATATTTGCCTTCAAAGAGATGGTAGAAGAAAATCCCCCTTATTTGCTATGGTCAGCCTCCCAAGGGATGCTCAGATTTCTGGTTCCCATTTGCTAAGGGGGGGCGGGGGGAGACAGGGGATGGGGGTAGGGGAAGGGAATGTTTGACTCTAGGCCGTGCACCAGTAGGTTTACTATTGCTTAGCAGGGAGGCAGGCTGGTTGCTTGGTTTCCCAGGGTCCTAAGTTCCCGTTTGTCCTTATGTGAATATGCCTCTGTGTCCTGTAAGATGCGCATGGTAATATAACAGATAATTAGAGATCAAAGACCTGGCAGAGGTTTCAATTAGTGGATGTTTGGTTCCAGAGTATCCTAGTTTTTATGAAAAAGATAGAAATTAAGATGCAGCTCCTAACCTTTGGCCATCAGTATAAAGGAAAATCCCTGCCTCCTCCTCCAGCTCTCCTCAGGATGTGCATTGTAACAGCAGGTTTGCTAAGCAGGTCACAGCTCACCCCGCCTCCCCACACATTTCTCCCTTTTTGTGCTCCTCTTACTTAGCAGGTCTACATTCTCATGTGATTTTCCATTTTCTATTATTTTTTCCCACAGCACTTCACATTTTCTGATGTACCATAAAATTCATGAACTTAATATGTGTCTGTGGGCGACCCCCGCTAACACACCCCGACCATGTCCAGAAAATAAAGTCCTCAAGGGAGAGATTTGTAGCTGTGCATTCATGTGTCTTGGCCACTTAGAATCCAATAAACTCCTGGGCTGGGGATTTAACTCAGTGGTAGAGAACTTACCCAGTCTGTGAAAAGTTCTGGGTTTAGTCCCTGGCACCACAGAGAAAGGAAGAAAATAAATACCTTCTTAATGAGTGATGTTTCATACATTTTTTTATCATAGAAAATGTCACCGAAGTGAAGATGCGTGCCATGCATATCTAACAACCAGTACCCAAATTGACATTTACCAACACCTGGCCAAGCCCTTGTCATCTGAGATCCTGTCCCCACCCTTTCCACCACCAGGCCAGACAAAATCCAGTCCCATCTCATGTCAGCTCACACAGGTCAGTTTACCTTCCTGGGAACAATAGATTCTTTGTTGCCCTCCTAATTAACTGGCTATGAGGAATCAGCTAGCCGGAAGCAAATTCTTTGTGATCTCAGTTAAAGTTGTCTCATGGAAAGGTGTGGGGAAATCACAACACCTTCAACCTTTCAGAAAAGATGTTACCTTCTCAGTGAGAACCTGCAATTTACAAGAGCACCTGATTGCACACAGCAGGGCACTCTCACACCCAGGGTATGGTTCCAAAATTTACAGGCATGTTTCCGAGAGGCTGAGGGAAGAAAACCCAAAGTCAGGGACTCCAGACAGTGGAGAAATGTCAGTCCATTTGACCTCTATTAGTAGCCCTTTAATTAATGAAAGCAGTGTTTATTTTTAGGGAAAGTTTGATTTTTTTTTTTTTTCGTCTTTTTGAAACAGGATCTCTCTATGCAGTTCAAACTGGCCTTTGTAGCGTAGGCTGGTCTCGAACTCGAAACAATCCTCTTGCCTCAACCTCCCAAGTACCGGGATTACAGGTGCGAGCCACCACGCCCAGGTATTTTTTTTGGGGGGGGGGGGAGTCTTTTGAGGCAGGGTTTCACTATATGGTTCAGTCTGGCCCAGAACTCACTTTGTAAGCCAGGTTGACCTCGAACTCTTAGTGAGCCTCCTGCCTCAGCCTCCTGAGTGCTGGGATTACAGGAGCCATAGTACCCGGTACTTTAGGGAAAAGATTTACTTATTTATTTATTTTACTTCCATCAACGAATAAGCAACAAGACAATTTTTAAACATTCCTATTTTAATCAAGGAATTCAAACCCTTTGATGGCCGAGAGTACAGCTCCGTTGGTAGGGGGCTCACCCAGCCTACGGAAGGGCTTGGATTGGATTCCCCGGCACCGCAAACTGATGCTGATATAAACCCTGACTCTAGAGCCGGGATGACCCAGGAGTTCCTTCTTCGATTTCTTCATATGCAAAATAAGGAATTCCACCAAAAGAAAGGAACCATTAATAAGAAAAGTCTTCGGTATAAACAGATCAAATGAAGGGCGCTGCATTCATTTATCTTGTTCTAGCATCCGACGTGGGGCTTGGGGTCGCTATGCTACTTTAAGTGGCTCCTTTCCGGTAGAACGAACCGTTCCGCTCGGGAACCCGGCTCACAGACCTCAGGTCCCAGCGCCTGCAGCCCTGAGAGTCTGAATATGCAACGCATATGCTAAGTGGGGCGTGGCCTCCGGGCTGGACGGGAACGCCCCGCCGCTGGCCCCGCCCCTCCCGAGACCAGATGGCTCCGCGGGTGCGTGGTTATTTAGGATGACGAGCAGCACCCCCTCCTCTAGGTAAGAACCTCTCCTCTCTCCCCCAGCTCGGAGTCGGGTGAGACCAGGCTTGCAGGATGCCCCAGGAGGCGGGAGCAGGTCCAGCCGGCTTCCCTGTTCGGCTGTCTTCTGATTCTGCCAGTCTAGGAGCTGGGGTGTTGGGGCGCTGGGGCCAGTTCAGCCAGGTCTGGCTAGAACTCCTTGTGCAGCCACAAGCAAATAAAAGCTGCTTAGCTAAAACAGCGATTCCGATGAGGTGCCAGCAGCTCTCAGGGATACAGCCCTGTTCGCCACTTTCAGTTGGAAAGAAATTCCAGCAACGAGTCCAAACTTGGTTCCAGAGATGGTACAAAGGTCTCCCTTATGAAAACGAAGGTGTATTTGGAATTAAGAGAACAGATTAATTTTTAAACATCTTTTTGTCGATCTGTTAAATTTTCTGCTGAGAACTACTTTCATTGCAATTTAAAAATACAACCACGCCTTTACAGTAATCCTGCTGGAAAGGACACCTGATTTATCAAGGGACATGCGGAGCGTCCATTCATCAACTTAGTGCTGCTACGATTTGAGCCCAGGGATCGCTGCTGGTGTGGAAAAAGTGAAGAGAAAACGTATTTTACAGTGATTCTCACAGGGCAGGGGCTCAGTGTTTGTCTTGTATAGCGTCCCTCAAGGGCTTAATTAATTACTTTAATTAAGGTATTCTCACAAAGGAGTTTTGCTCCTACCAGTATCAGAATACATGGCTGTCTCCTAAGGCAAGAGGTGTTTTTCATTAAATCACACATTTTAAATAGACTAAAACTTAATTTTCCAAATAGGTTTTTCTTCGCCACTGTTGTAGTACCTAAAATGGAAAAAATAACTTTTTTTCATCATTTTTGCTAACAGAACAATATGTGTAATTGAAAATGCAATTCAAGAATATCAAAGGACAGAATAACTGCAATTGAATTTAATAATTTTATTTGACTTTATTTTCTGTTGTAGAACTGGGCAACACTTCACCCCACAGACTAAGCATTTCAGTGCACTAAGTGTAAGTGATTGGTTGTACAGGCAGAGAAAAGGTGAAGAAAGTGCAAAAAGTCAAAGATCTGATCAGTTATTTTAAAGTTTCTTTCTCCAAGAGGCAGAGGCAGAAGAATAGGAAAATAACTGATTAGTTGGTGCCAGCTTGTTTCAGGTTACTTTTGCAGGGAGGTACTGGAGGCTGAATCCAGGGCTTTTGCACTGAGTTACTTCTCAATTTTTCTTTTTTAAATAGGTTTGTGTTAGCAATATATAAGAATTACATTCATTTTGGAGAATTGGTACATACGCTTCACATCTGGACCATTTTTGTCCCCTTTCCCTCTTCTATCCTCCCATCTCTTCACAACTCCCTCCTTCCCTGAAAGAGTTTCCGGCACGATTAGAAGACAGAATATAAAATGGCCTTTATTTTAAGAACATCTCCAAAATCTCTACCTCCTTGTTTCTTCATCTGAGTAACTTTAGGAAGAAGATAAAATTGTGATTGCTGTAAACATCTAAGAATAAGTGCATGCTAAAAGTTTCACTTAACTCCCTGATGAGAAGCCTGATAACCCAGATGGCATATAACCAAAGAATGGGTACATTTATAGAACAGAAATATGGACTACTGAGTAATAAAATAGTGATCTGGAATACTGACACTGTTTTCCTTTGGAGAAAAGCGAAGAATATTGCTTCTCCACTAATAGTAACATATTTACCCAAAATGTAAAGAAGAATTATTTCACACTGTTAGGTTATCACAACCTCAGAATTGTAAGACAGTGAGAACAACCCAAAGAACAAAAGCTGTTCTTTGAAGCACAAGTTTCTCCCACTCCTACACCATGCCTTTGACCAGACACCTACAGTGCAATTCCATAGCAAGGTCTGAGAAGTTACGATTCATTCATCAGCAAATACCTTCTGCAAGAAAAAAGGCATGTTCTACACAGTGTGTAGTTCAAGACACTTTGCTTTTGGCAAGATGCAGCACTATTCTGACCTGCTGGTTGAGAATCTGGGCCTAGTTCAAACCTCTTGAAGTTGTGTGGGGTGCTCCATTTCAGCAAGGATTTCTTGCAGGGAGTAGTACATAAAGCATTTTCAGAGAGTGAGAGGTTCTGTCACAGCTTGCTTTGAATCTAGTGATGTAGAGAAGCTGAACAGTGTTAGTTTAGTAATAACCTTCAGAGGAAAGTGGCTCTTTGGCTTGGTTTGGTTTGGTGTTTACTATATACCTCTCTAACCATTTTTGTTTCAGAAGATTAAGAATCTTGGTGCTTGGTTTTGCCCAGGGGATTCCAGAAGAGGGCGGCTGCCTAGGGGTGTGGTCTCTAGATCCTGAAGAAATTGGAAAGGGAAGGAGTCCTTCTTCAGGCGATGTTTATACAGACAGATCCTGGGATTTGCAGTCCTAGGCAGCCAGAAGGAGCAGAAGTGGGATGTGAAGGCCAGAAGCCAGTCCTGATTCCACAAAGAGATAAACTCCGGCCACAGCAGGAACAGGTAATGCTGATTCTCTGTGACTTAAAGAATGTTCTCTGTGGCTCGGTTGGCGGACCCTGTCCTAGCTTTTTGATTTATGGGCACTGTTTCCACTCTACACTTCCTCGAGCAGACTGAAGTTCAAAGATCCTGTTTTCGATTCGGATTGTGTAGAGGCCTTTTCCTGAGGTGAGACTTGGAATAACCTTAGTCAGTGCACTAGGAGGAAAAGTCAGAAGCTGCACAGCTGTCCACAGAAAATGCTTTGGAGGAGGCAGCATAGTGTGTGTTTCCTCAAGCTGAGGTACAGTTTCACACAATATAGAGTACAGATTTTAGGCTTGTAGGTTTATAATTATATCCACCCATGTAATCACAGCCTACCAAGATAGATAGACTAATAACCCAGTTGCCTTTTGAAATCAGTCTCCCTCACCCTTATCTCCTCCCCAGAAGTAACATAATTCTGGCTTTTTGTTGGTTTGTTTTGTTTTGATTTTGTTTTGTTTTGTTTTGAGACAGGTCTCACTTTGTAGTTTAGGCTGGCTTGAAACCAAGGCCATCCTCCTCCCGCCCCAGCCTCCCCAGCTCTTCGATTAGAGGCATGCCCCACACACCCAGCTAATCCTACCAGTTTTGATTTCTTTGGGATCTGTATAAAGTATGCCCTTTTGTGTCTGGATGAATCTCTAACACTATGTTTTAGGAAGCATAGTGTTAGAGATTCATTTATTTTGCTCTGCATACCAAATCACCTTTGTCGAGGTATGGTTTTCATATAATGAAGTGTATGTTATAAGCATGTATTGCATGAGTTTGGACAAACTTTCATAGTCATCACCACTGTCACGTTGTAGAACATTTTTACCACTCCAGAATTACTCTTTGGTAATCAGTTCCTTCCTGATCTACTGCCCTAGGCAACCAGGCAACTACGGATTCACCTTCTTGGTTTTTCTTTTGAGACAGAGTCTCAGTTACTGAACTTACTACATAATTTAGGCTGGCCTCAAAGTCACAGAAATCCTGCCTCAGCCTCCTGAGTGCTGGGATCAAAGCTGTACTTTCAATCACTAGTGCAATCTAGTGATTTGCTTTTTATATATAATAATGCATTCAAACATTTTTGCATGTGGATACTTTGGAACACCATGATGTTTAGTTATTCAAGCTAGTTTTTGCAGTAGTCCACTACCGGTTATTGCTGATTACTATTAGTTGTTTTAATGCTATATTTTCATTTCCCGTGTAATGGACACTTTATTTTTTCACTAGTATGAATGTATGAACTTTCTTGGTTAGATAGCCAAATGGTTTCCAGTTGGTAGAATTGTACATTTCTATAAACATCAAATACAAATACTGTGGCTCAAAATCTTTATCAACATTTGGTATGCTCGTCTTTTTATACTTACCCATGTTAGTGGTTGTACCATGTTTTATTATAATTTGTGATTTCTGAAGATTGTGGTATCAGGTAGCTCATTCTAAAAGCAACTTCTGTTACTGGGTTCTGGGTTGCTCAAAAAATTGAACCAAACGAGAAAAAAGGAAAATTAAAAAACAGTAACAGTTTTTTCAGTAAAGTAAAAGTGAAGAGTTGGGGGCGGGGGCACTGGCTCTGCAGAGCGAACTTGGGTCCAGAAAGAGAAAAAGAGGGGAGAGTACAGATAAAAGTACAGGCTGCAAGTCAGAAACCCGGCGTGCAGTGGTGGAAAATTTTTTTGTTTTGTTGGTCTCGCTATGCAGCTCAGACTGACCATGAGCTCACTTTGTAGCTCAGCCTGGCCTCGAATTTCCAACAATTCTTTGGCCTCAGCCTCCCCAGTGCCGGGATTACAGTCATGGGCCCCCACACCTGGCCATGGTGGAAAGTTTACAGAGCTCTTCCCCTAATCGGCGTGTCCCTTTATTCCCCCCAAATTGGGGGAGGACACCCGTGAGAATTTCCACATCCGGGTCCTGAGCGATGACGTCAGGCCTAAGCATCCGGTAGAAAAACCTGCTGGAGTTCTCGCGAGAAGTCCGGGCCCTCGGCCAAGGGACCTGCCCTGGACAAGTGCTGGGCTGGCTAGGGACTGGAAGAGGTTGTGGCTGGAATTGGTGGAGACAGAGAAGGAATCGGGATCGTTTCCTTCTACGTTATTGGCATCCGGGTTGAAGCTGACAGTATCCTCTAAGCCAGCAGGGAAAGGCTGTGATACAAAGGTCCTTGCCCTGACCTTGTCCCCTGCTGTGGGATCCTTTGCAGAGCCAGGCTGGGGAGGTTCTGGCCCCAGGGCCCTCACCATAGGGGCTGTGGGAAGACAGCCGGATACCTGCCCAGACCCTAAGGAGCCAGGAAACCAACCACACCTGCCAGTTTTTGCAGGCCTCATTTTTTTTTGGTTTGGTTTTGATCTGCTATCTTTTAGTGTATTTTGTAATACATAATTACTACATTCATGAGGGGGTTGGTACATGTGTGTGGTATATCCTGATTATTTTCAGTCCCTCACCTCTTCCTCCCAGCTCTCCTTCTCCCACCTAGCCTTCATTCCTTTCTTCATGTCCTAAATACCTGAAGTATATAAAGAACTCAAAAAAAAAAAAAAATTACCCCCCCCAAAACAAATGGCCCACTCACAAAAATGGACGAATGAACTGAATAGACAATATTTGTAAAAAAAAAAAAAAAGTCTTCTTTTTAACAGTTGTTTATTCTGTATGAGTGGAGGCTGAACCTGGAAATATCTGCAGCCCTACTTTCTATATATAGACCCTGGTACACACAAACAACCTCAGGGCTGGGAAATATGACGTCATCCGTGTCTGAAAGATAAGGAACCTGTTGGTTTAGGTCGCCAGTGAAGCACGTATGATTCTCCAATGCAACATAGGAAGAGTTTCATGTGCACAATTACAAAACAGGTTGAGTTGGTGCCGTGACTATCAGGTAAGGCTAACTGCAAAAAATACATCAGTGAGAGCAGGAAATAGATCATAGCTTTCCTTGTGACGCTCTCCTGGCAATGAAGTCTGGTTGATTTTTCTCTCATTTTTAAAAAAGAATCTCTTTTCTGTTACCACAGAATTAAGTTGACAAATGAGCTTATCCTGCCAGCAGTATAAGTAGAAGTTTAAAATATGATATAGGAGGGAACAACTCAGAGAAGTGGTTGAATGTGGAAAAAAGCAGTAATGTAATAACAGAAATAAAAGAGAGGGCAATAAATTGATCTCTGATACTAAGAAACAACAGACATGTAAAGCGTGTGTGGCATGAAAAGAAATTTTCACGAAGTGGATGAAAGCAAAAATAATGAGAAGCCACTTCAGCCGATCCTGATCATAGTCAAAACCCACATAAATCTTACATTTGATGGGAGTGGAAGACAAAAATCACGAGCACCTTAAAATGAAGCGGGGTCACATAACACTGGCATGGGAGTTACCATTTTTCCAGCAGCTGCAACGCCTCACATATCCTGAATGAGAAGCAGAAATAAAATAGGGTGACCTTACGTGGATATGTAGAAATGCACCCCAAATAAAGAGTGCAAGAAACTAGTTCCCGGAGAGGTAGACCCCTCCCTAAAGGGTCCCCAGGGAGGGACAACTGCAGCAGTTTTTTTCAAAAGGTGAAAAATAAGCAGCAGAAGGAGATGACACATTATTCCCAAGGGAATGCAGGTGCTCACCTTCTAAGCAAAGGTGTTGGTGATCTTCAGGACTCATTCGGATCGCACTGCCAGCTGGGGGCCTTTCTGCTGTGTAACCCCAACAGTCCTGTGCCAGCTGCCCCTTCGGGTCCTTGAATGGGCTACAGCTGAGTCAGAAGAGGTGCTCTTTGGTCAGCTGTGACCTGCCATGTCTGCTAAGGTGGCAGCCAGAGCTCAAAGTTCACGTCCTCCATCAGCCACTGCCAGCCTGAGGTTTCCCTCTGGCAAAGTCTCACGAATGCATGTTCCAGTCCCCCAAGGTGAACCCTGGCCATGGAGTTGCCCAAGTGCAAGCTATGAGAAGCACCTGATGGATTCGGCTTTTCTTAGTACTTCCACTTCAGAGTCTTCCCTAACGTGACATTCGCTCAGCATTTTATCATGATGGTCTGATAGGCTGGCTTTTGTTCAGGGGATGTTTTCCCTCCCCCAGTTAAACTATGGCCTGGATAATGTTCTTATACATTTAAAAAAAAAAAGCGAGTGATGGAGCAGATGGAGAGTGCGTGGATTAACTACATGGAGCACCTTGTGAAAGGGTTATTAGGAAATCACAGAAATGGAGGGAGAAGGTGAATTTTGCTTTCAAACATGACAACTCAGAAAATCTACCCAATTCATATCCTCAAATTAGAGACAATGAAGCAAAAGAAACTTCAGAGTACTTTTAGAAGAGGGTTAGCATTATGGTGTCAAAATGTATTCAGAGCCGGGTGTGGTGGCTCACGCCTGAAATCCCAGCACTCAGGAGGCTGAGGTGGGAGGATCATTGCGAGTTCGAGGCCAGCCTGGGCTACAACGTGAGCTCAAGTCCAGCCTGAACTGCATAGAGAGACCCTATCTCAAAGAAGACAAAAAAAAAAAACAAAAAAAAGAAAGAAAGAAAGAAATGGAATGAGAAACATAAAATAACAGTCTGTCCCAAACTAGTGCTTAGCATCGGGTCTGAGATCCTCTCTCTTAGACCACACACAATGACCTTCCTAGGTGTGACAATGAAACACGTGTGTATGTATTTACTTCTGTTCTTTCCACTGCAGCTCCTAACCCGGTAACTGTCCTCTCAGCAACTTAGCGCACATTGTGATCTTATCTGTGTATTCACATATTTCTTATCCAAACAAAAGTTGGGATAAAACAGCCTATTCTGCAGTGCACTCTGATATTTCACGTTTTTGCATCTTTTTGAAACATAGTGTTTGAAAACCCACTAAGCTTTTTGACTCCATGGTCGGAAAAACACTCCTCTTAAATAACCTAGAATTGGAATTTTGGGGATATAGCTGAGGTCTCTTAACACAGAGAAAGGGAAAAGGTAAATTAGTCAGGTCTAAGTTTTGGTGTGAAAACCAGCACAAATCTATTACCCTTGACCTTGCATTTCCCCACTGTAAAATGATCTTTATCTACCTCACAGAATGGTCAAAAATTAGTTTCCCTGATATAGACATTATTGAAAGATATTACACAAGTAAAGCTGTTATCATGGTGATCATCATGATGGCAAAGAAAGCAACATCTCTTCAATGAGAAAATAGAAGATGGTGACCAAAAGCGGTAATGACTTTGTGAGAACACAGGTTGCTTTCCTGTTTTACAGATGAATAACTGAACTTGTCTAATTGAAGACCTCCCTGGCCTTTTACTGTCACCACTGGCAAGTGAACCACAGAGCGTGTGTTTGTCTTAGTGTGAAGTTTCACTTCCGTGCCTGCCTGACTCCTGCAGGCTGGCCTGTTCCCAACACCTATCCCTCTCCCTCCCCATCTGTGTCCACCTAGGCTAGCATGTGTTTATTCACTCTCCTGGTGTCTTCCTCCATGGCTTACTGCATGTCAGCCACTATATTCCATTCATATAAGATACAGACAACATTTCCCATCCCTTTGGGGCTTATGCTATACTTTAGAGGAGTATACTAGCCTTGCCTGCTTTATTTTTCCAACTAAATTTAGTCACACAGTCATATTGAAACTATAAAGAGCCAAAGAGATGGACTATCCAGAGGGCACAGTTCCAGGTCTCTGAAATACTTGGAGAGGACGACTTGGAGTTAGTGTCAAGTCCATGGTCAGCAGAGAGGAGCAGAATCTTGCAGGTAAATCAGCTGCTGCCACCTATCAAGACTACGTTTAAAAAGAGGACCAAGCATAATCAGATACTTAGGAAACTCTTTTCTAGAAGGCCATGAATAACAAAAAAAGGAGGTCCCAACAGACCCTGAAGTATCCCAGAAAGGAGTGAAACCCCTGCTTTCTGGAATGAAGGAGTAAGTGGAGGACGGTAAACCCCAATTTTGCATTGGCAGAATTTTCACATTATCAGGGTAGCTCGCTCTTGTTGGAAACCTGGCTCAAAAGTTATGCTGCTATCTGGAATCACCTGCAAAAGGGCAAGGAGGGTAACAAGCCAGGGTGTGACCCTGTGGGTTCCGCTGTCTGGGTCCCTGGGATTCCACAAGGTGACTCACCCTTCTGGGGTGAACGCACCCTCTTGCACCTCTCAGCCCACTTCCAATCTACAACTGCCTTTGGAATATTAAGTCATATTAATATATATTAATTAATGTATATTAACTCATAATTACTAGTATGGATGGGTTTATAAAAACACTTTCTTTCCTCACTGTGGATTAATGCAAAGCAGGGCTGGGCACCAAAATGAGGCAAAGGGGAGGCAATGAGAGGTCCTGGTGGCAGAGCAGGGACTTTGTTCAAATCTTAACCGTGTGATTTGAGTTCACTTATTAGACATCTTGAATCTTCCATACACTCGCCTTTGAATTTGGGAAAATATTATATTTTTTAGTACTATGCAGCTTTAATGGAATAACTTACAGAAAATTGTTCTAAGACATTAGTTTCCTTTCCACAAATCATCTCAGACAAAATCTCAGTCAAGAGCAGCAAAACTGTAAATTGTACAGTGCTCTGTGATCTCCAATATGAAGCAATAAGAATAAATTTTTCCTGTTCACATTGCAGCTCACGTGTAAAAGCAGTAAGTGTTCAAGTGTAACCACCATAAAATAAAGTTGGGCTTTCTGTATCTTGTGCAATGACAAGGGAGATCGTCTGGGCTTTGTGTTGGAACTTTGAATGTCAGGCGATTTGTATGTTGCGAAAAGCTGTGAAGTCTTAGTTAGCCAGGGCCTCATAGGTGTGGCTCCAGACAGCAGCATAATTTTCCAGCAAGGTTTGCAACAGTGAACTATCTTAATGACGTGAAAATTCTGCCAAGGGCGAGTTGGACCTCAACATCTTCCATTTATTCCCTTAGCCCAGCTGCAGGATTACAGGGGGACCCAGTTACAATGACAAGAGGAAGAATAGTATCTACTCCCATTCCCAGCCAGTGGAGAAAGATACCAAATCAGATCTTTAGAGCTTAATTATCTTTTTATTTTATGGAACAAATAAATTTCATGACAAAGTAATAGGAAAATAATAATAGTTAACACATTGCATATGGTTATCTTCAGAGTGGTTATTCAAAGTACAAGATTTGGGCATAAAAAACCTCCAAATGATATAAACACAAACCTTTCTTTTCAATGAACTAAAAGAAACTAATGGTATAACTAACTTGTATTTTTTTTCCTTCCCTTTCCTTCCTTTCCCTCTTCCCTACTTCCTCTTCCCTTTTGAACAATTTCTTACCATAAACAATTCTTGGCAACCAAGGCAAGGCAGGGCACATCACAATCCCTGTCTTGAAATTATACTACAAAGCTACTGTGACAAAATCAGTCTGGTACTGGCAAAAAAGGAAAAACAGACCTGAGGATTAGTGGAACAGATGAGAAGAGGCAGACACAACCACAAACACACACAGCTACTTTATCTTTAACAAAGGGGCCAAATATGTTCAGTGAAAGAAAGATTAGCACCTTTAATAAATGGTGCTGGAAAAAAATGGCATTCCAGTGCCAAAGACTGGAACCAGACCCATGTCTATCACCATGCACTAAAATAAGATCAAAATAGATCAAAAATCTAAATATTAAAACAGAAACACTAATCTGCTGAAAGAGAAAATGGGTAGAAATCTTGAAGACACAGTAGGCAGAAGACTTCATGAATAAAACCAGATTGCACAGGAAATACTACAGTTAACAACCGGGATCTCATCTTATGAAAAGTTTTCACACAGAAAAAGAAATCACCAGTAGAGTAAAAAGACAACTCACAGAATGGGGCAAAAAATTAGACAGTTGTCTCTCAGACAAAGGACTTATGTCTAGAAAACATAAGGTATTGAAAAAAGACTCCCAGGTTAATTTTTTTAACTGAAGCATTGTGAACTCTTGCAAGATTGCAGACACCTGGTAAATGCCTCAGATGTCTACTATGTGTCCAGCAAAATGTAACGAGGAGGTGAATTTATAAATAAACAAATGTTTCATGTGTTGAGTTTCAGAATTGGTAGAGAATTGAGTGGTCAGATAGTAAAAAGTTAGATTTAATTCAATCTGTGTTCACTTGGCAGTACTTACCTAGCACACATCTGATAGTACTCTAATGAGTCACTAGCTAATGTTTTACTTAGGTTTGAGGATGCATTAGCACACAGTTGATCATTAATTATTAGCTACGCATAACCATGAATGAATACCAAAGAAAGATGACTGACTGATCCTCCAACAATAATGAAAAAGAAATTTATTAACCTAAGGAGTATTTGAGAGCAGTTTTTCATCACTTGCTGTTTTAACTGCAGGTGAATGAAGCATTATCTTTTCTTAAAACATTTGCAGCAGCTGAGATTTTGCTTTACATCCAACATACCACGAAGAGCAAACATTAATTAATTTTTGCTTTGTTTCTATTAGGTTAGCTATGGATTGTTTTAGAACTTCACAAAGCAATTCCTGGATTTTTCCCACTGTCATTCTCTGCTTATTTGGATTTTTCTCCACAATGAGACCATCAGAACCATTCCTTATTCCGTATTTATCTGGACCCGATAAAAACCTGACCAGCGCAGAGGTAGGTTAATACACATCTATAAATTAATGTGGGTTAATTTTAGAGCACTTGAACATGGACATAGCGTGTCTTTTGACTTTACTGAGTCCAATTTTCATATTTGTATCATAATAGAACTGTTCTTTCCTTCTTATGTTTGCAAAAATGGCCAACCAAAGCATATTACATGTACAATGAGCATTTTAACTTTTATCGAGTCTTAATATTACTCCTAATGCATAGGAACCTTTCAGGTCTCCATTGTTTCTATAATACTTATCCTAAAATAAAATTGATGCCAGTCATAAAATCTAATCTAATAACCTAGTGAACTGCTAAGATATAAACAATATCTAATAAAGAATTGTAATGCAGTTCAGTCATCAATGTGACAGTGATGTGACAATGATGATTCCATAAGATTATAAGGAAGCTAAAACCTTCCTATCACCTAGTGACATCATAGCCCACCTAGATCACAGCACAATGCATTATGCAAACAGTTGTTGATGCCAAGATCAAGCAGATCTGCACAACCACTCGTATTAAAATAGAACATGTACCACTGTGTACAGTATGTAATATTTGGTAATGGTAACAAAGGAATGATGTTGGTTTATGTACTTAGTGTCCTGTACTATTTTTACCATTGTCTTGGAGTGTATTCTCCTACTTATTTAAATAAAAATTTACTGTGAGACAACAGCAAACACATGCATCTCGTGTTCACAGTATTCTCATCTTCACCTTATCCTTATTTTCTCTTGTGCCTTAATCTTGTGTTGCCCTGTTCCCCGTGGTCCTAGGAACAGAGGGCTCTACTTGATATACACCCTGTCCATAGATGTGTGGCATCATGCACTGTGTGCACTCTGAGGTTTGTCAGTGAAGAAAGGGTCATCTGCTCCGCAGAGAAAATCCTCACCAGGAAGCAGCATCGACTGCATTTCCTTTGCTTAGGGCTGGTAGTTTTGCTAGTTAGCAGCAGATGTGACATGAACGGCTTTCCTGCCCAGCCCTGCCTCCTTCTCTGGAAGGCCTCTCCTTGAACCTTGAACCTAATATTAGTGCTCTATGCACAAGAAGGAGATGGTGGTTTCTAGGAACTTGGGAAACCCACAAGTGTTGAAGAGTTTATAGTAAAACTTAATTTACTCAAATGTATATTCTCTTTAAATTTAAAATAGAAATCAGACCACACCTTGTCACAATATGCCCTTCTCCTGGAATATAACCAAGGAAATACACTGGTTGGGTTTCTTTGCTTTTTTATCTTTCTAGGGCTTGAGGCAGTTGTTTTTGGTTTAGGTTTTTTTGGTGTTTTTTTTTTTTTTTTTTTCTTCCCAGCAAGGAAGGGAACTCATTTCATATTGATTTCTTTGAAAATCATCTTTCTCTCATGCTTTCCATGTTGGGGGGAAGAAGCTACTTAGCGACATAGAAACTGTGGGCCCAGCCAGTGGTCCCCTCAAGGATGCGCTGGTGCCCTCTGGTCACATTGCATCCACTTCGCAGATCACAAATGAGATCCTTCCCGTGTGGACCTACTCCTACCTGGCGCTCCTGCTCCCCGTGTTCGTCCTCACCGACTATGTCCGCTACAAGCCGGTCATCCTCCTGCAAGGCCTTAGCTTCATCGTGACCTGGCTGCTCCTCTTGTTTGGCCAAGGGGTAAAAGCCATGCAAGCTGTCGAGTTCGTCTTTGGGCTCGTCTCGGCCACCGAGGTGGCCTACTATGCCTACATCTACAGCGTGGTTAGTTCTGAACACTATCAGAGGTTGAGCGGCTACTGCAGGAGTGTCACGCTGGTGGCCTACACTGTGGCCTCTGTGCTGGCGCAGCTCTTGGTATCCTTGGCGAACCTGTCATACTTCTACCTCAATGTCATGACCTTGGTCTCTGTCTCTGTGGCCTTCTTATTCTCGCTGTTTCTACCAATGCCTAAAAAGAGCATGTTTTTCCATGCAAAACCCAGCAGCGAAATTTCTCCAAAGCCACTGGGGAAGGATGCCGACCTTCAGGAGGCTCAGGAGGATCACGGAGCAGTTCAGCAGAAATCATCCAGCTTTCCTGGGAATCTGGGAGACAGCCCTATGGGCAGCTGGAAGTCTGAAAATGTGGTTTTGAGGAATTTTGTGCAGTGGTTCCAAGATCTCAAGGAGTGCTACTCTTCAAGGCGTCTTTTTTACTGGTCCCTGTGGTGGGCTTTTTCTACAGCAGGTTTTAATCAAGTTTTGAATTATGTTCAAATCCTCTGGGATTACAAGGCACCATCCCAAGACTCCTCCATCTACAATGGGGCAGTGGAAGCTATCGCAACGTTTGGAGGTAAGTTAGTGTCTCTTTATTTTCTTTTGATGAACTTCTGCTTAAATTCATTTCTCCAGGTACTAAACTCCATGGTGGTAGATTAACTTTGTTCAGAAGAACAATGATATTTTTTCGTGAAAGGAAGACACTTGAAAAATAACCAGTACCATGCCATTCATGTGTTACAATTATAAGAAAGTCAGGAGCTCAGAGCTTAGAAATGATAAAATTCTAGCAGAACCCTCCTGATCCCATTTCCCATTCTGACAGTATCCACTATTCTTTGAGGATTGTTCTCAACATTGTAATAAAGAAAACGCGTAAGTAAGGAGATACTAGTCATTTTAAGAAATACATCAAATACCTCCCCTTCTGGGAAGGTCGTATTAATGATCTAGCTAAGATTCGCCTTTAGCAGTCCTGGACTGTAACCAGTAATTTTCAAAAACAGCTTTCTTGTGAGATGCTACAAGGAGTAGATGATACTTAAGGGTCAGTATTCTAATATCAGAGGAAAAGTTGCCTCTGAAGTTCACCAGATAATAAATATTTATATCCTAGCAAATGCCAACATAAATATCAAGCGAGACTTTGAAGATATTTTTCAGGAAGTGGGTTTTTTTTTTGTACCTCCTTATATACAAAAATGTTTATAGACAAAATGTTTCAGAAAACCCACATGACCCAAGTTTCATTATTGTCTCTCTTTTGGGAAGCTTCTGTGTAACTCCTAAAAACCTGTGCCAGAATTGGTTCCCCGAAACGATTGCTCCTATGTTCCAAATTCTCAGGGAAAATAGGCCTTTGGGCTGTGGCTCTTTCCCAGATCACATGTGAAGAAGCCACTTGGCAGTCATTTGAAACCTAGGTATCTTTCATGTTGTTAGAGAACCATAATAATTGTTTAATTATCTTCAATTATTCAACCTCTTGTACTCTATAAATCAATATAGATCTTTCTTCTCAGGTCTTATCTTGCAGATATTAAGGTGGAGATTAAAGAGCCATTATGATTCAGCGTCAGAGTACAACTCAGAGGCAGGGTGCTTACTCAGCATGCGAGAGCCCTTGGTTTGATCTCCAACATTGAAAAAGAACAGAAATAAGATTAAAATTGGTAACCATTAATACAGACTAAAACTGACTTCTCAGTGCAGCACACCTGGTACCCATCACTAAAAACCTGACAATGACAAATAACAGGGCTGGTGATTTATCTGGGTGCGAGAGTGCTTATGTGGCATGCATGCTTGTATTGAACAGCTGGGTCACTATATTATTTCTCCCCATTCTGCTGTGGAGAGGAAACTTTCTCCACATAGCATAGTGCCTGGTATGTAGTTGATGTGAATCAAATATGAGATAAAAATTAAAACAAAAACAGGAACTGAAAAGAAAAGGAAAAAAAAAAGAAAAACTGAGCTCTACAAATGACAAGTCGACATTTTGATGAACTGCACGGCTTTTGTGAAAGCAGCACATTGACTACTCAATGTAGTAGTCAAGACCTGGGGTTTGTAGGAGCATGATTTCATTTCCTGTGTGCAGTCAGAGTGTTCGGTTTCATTCTCAGGGGCTCTGGCTGCCTTTGCAGTGGGCCATGTGAAAGTGAACTGGGACCTCCTGGGAGAGCTGGCCCTCGCAGTCTTCTCGGTTATCGGCGCTGGCTCTCTCTTCCTTATGCATTACACCCTCAGCATCTGGCTGAGCTACGCTGGGTATTTGATATTCAAGTCCAGCTACATGCTTCTGATCACCATAGCAGTGTGAGTATTGCAAGCTATTTCTTGCTGTCCTTTCCTGCAAACTCAGAATCTATTGCAGTATTCAACGTCAACTATGTCACACTAAATTAAACACCACCACTGTTCCCTGTTGCCAAAATTAGTCACCAAGGGAAAGTTTTGATACATTATAAATCAGAAAGAATGATATATTCTTTGGTTTGATCTTTTTAAATTTCCAACAGCTTTCCATGATAACCCAGAAACAAAAATATATTGAAAGGTTTTGATTTTTTTTTGTTTCCAACAATTTTCCATAACACAATGTGATTCAGTTTGATTTTATATTAGATTTTATTTAACTGTGTGGGTAATTCTAAGCCTGTACTACTCTACGAACAAAATATTCTTAAGAAATTTATAAAAAGTAGGATGCTGAACAGAAGTATATGTGAAGAGCATAAGAACCCTTTAGGTGCATTAATACATGCAGCCAATTGATTTTTTAATCATTTTTTAAAGAGATTTAGAATTTAGAAGAATTTTTGCATTTACTTTTAAAGAAAATGATCAAAAACATTTGGGTTTCATAGCAGCAGTTAAAGCTGAGTACAGGAAATGTGCTTCAAAATTAAAGATGGGAAACACTTGAATTTCAAGTTGTGTTTAAGAAGTGGAGATGAGCTTTATCAACTTTTGTTTGTTTTTAAGTTGTAGAAAATGAATGACAAAAACTACAAAACACAGAAATATGAGCACCAGGGAAAAGACCATTAGGCAAAAGAAAAGATGAAACTAGTTGACATTTTAGTGTTTTTCACTGACATGTCTTTTGTTTAGTGAACCTTTGTGTAGTGTTTATGTCTTTAGTTTCTTCTTTTAAGATGAGGATTGAAAGTTTTACATTGCCTTTGAACTGCAAAAGTACTTAGAACCTCAAAACCTTTTATCTGCATTCAAAGAATGTAGTAAGATTTCAAAATCTACATAATTAAAAATTAATGACTAATTCAATTTTACAGCTACTTAACATCTGGATCTTTCAAAGAATAATTCACCTACTAAACTTTGTTGGTGGAAATAATTGATAATAAACTAAACAGTGATTAAGAAAAAAAATCCCTCTGATTTGGTAACCATATCTAAAATCAAATAATGTCCAGTATTACAACCAACTGACAATAAACTGAATAACACTAAAAAATATTTCCATAGTTTAACCACATCTAAAATCAAATCAAACCCACCATCTCAAGTTATGAGAACCTAGAATACGATTGCTTAAGTTCTGGAAAGTATTACACTTTATACGAGTGATTTTGTTATTTTACCTTTAATTCAACCTTTAATAATATTTTATTCCTTTACTTTCTTCTGCCTTTGTGTTGTAGAAGAGGAGATTTAAACAAATGCCACTGACAACACTGTTTTCTCTGGAGTTTCTATCTTTTATCAAGAGTCTTATGTATGTTATGGTTAAAATATTTATTGAATATTTAATGATAGATTCCAGATTGCAGTTAATCTGAGCATGGAACGCTATGCCCTGGTGTTCGGAATCAACACCTTTATCGCCTTGGCGATTCAGACCATCATGACTATGATTGTGGTAGATCCCAGCGGGCTCAACCTGGCAATCAGTATTCAAGTAAGCCATACTGCTTCTGCTCTGTTTAGTTGTTGGGAAAGTAGCATAAATAGATGACCTCCAAAATTTCTCAACCCTGCAATTAGCAATACTTAATTTTGAAACACATGCAGTTCTTTAATTATATAATAATGCCAAGTAGATTTTGATTGAAACTAATTCAACACTTACCTGATTAAACAGCAGGTAAGAAGTAACATGAGTGTCTAAAATTCGATGATAGCAACCCTATGTATAGCATTCTACCAGGTTCTAAACATACAGATTCCCATGTAGAGTAACTTTCTCATTGTCTATGATAGCAGCTGGGATTTGAACCTAAGCAATTTGTTCTGAAGCCACAGACTTCTAATGCATTGCTTACACTTTCATACTTGATTTCTTGAAGACAATGGAATATATCATTCAATCTAACTGACTATAGCTAAGATCCTAAGTCTCAGGCCATGAGCCAAACACACTAACAGCATCATTATATATTATTGGTGAATAGGTGGTCAGATTTTGTATGTGGCTAATTTTTTGCTTTTATCCAGTTTTTAGTTTACGGGAGTTATTTTGCTGTCATTGCTGGAATTTTCCTAATGAGAAGCATATACATTCTTTACTCAGTCAAATGCCGGAAAGAAGTAGAGAGACTACCTACAATTCAGAGCCTGCCTAAGCCACACACAGAGGAGCCGGTTAATACCATCCTGTCAACAAAGCTCTGACTTTATTATATCAGGACAGTGGTTTTCAAATCAGTGACTAAAATGGGAAGATTTTCAGATGGATGCACTGACATGTTCTACAAGCTGGATTCCAAGAACCTTTCTAAAAATACAACAGAACCTTCGCTTTAGACCATGTATCTATGTGCCCAATCGAATTTGTGTGCAGCTGGTGGGGCCCATTCACAGTTAAAGAACACATACTGGAAACCCAAATGCTTAGAAAACTCTAGTTTGATAACTTCTAAGATCCTGCAAAGAGCACAGAAACAAACCAAGGAAAAACACCAGCCATCGGTGGTGGACTTCTGCCCTCTAGTGAATGGGAAACCTAATTGAACCGACCCTGCGCTTGATCTGGATGTTTCTTGTGCTCACAGGAGGCACACGAGCTATTTTTCTTCCTCTCCCAGCAAGTATGCTTCTATGTTAACTTATACTCTGAGAGAATTACCAAATCTGACCCCATTTCTAAGGGCTCTTTCTCGCCTTTATAAACATTGCACTATTCACCAGCTATTGTTCAATATTGTAACTATTTTTATTTTTTATAATTATTTTTCATTTTGAGCTTTTTTGAGCTTTATATCACAACTACCTCAGGAATGGCTGCGGATGTTACTGCATCACAGGATGACCTGAGCTAGAAGAGGCATCATTAGCCAGGTAGGTAGATTAATGTTCTATCAGTATAACATCTACAGTAGAACACTAGAAGAAATCAGAGGTTCTAGCAATATTTATAAATGGGAGACACTTGGAGGAATTAAATGCCTGATTTCTGTTCATCTACTGTTTTTCTTTTTGGTGCTAGAGATTAAACCCAAATCTCATGTGTGCTCAACAGCTCTTTCACTGAATTGCACCCCCAGTTCCCTAAACGCCAGCCAGCTTTGCCCACCCTAATCTCTTATGTCAGAATTAAGTGATAAAATACCTAGGATTACATTTAGTCTAATAATTTATAATTAAGGCAAACCTGAGTAAGCCTGAAAGCCTAAAAATTATGAGCAGATATGTAAGTGTATCAAAAAACTTATCTTGTTCTTGGCTAGGAGAAAAAGTGAGGACATGGAGTTCTCCTAAATAAATGCATTAATTAAATCCTGTCCATAGGGCTGGGGATTTAGCTCAGCAGCATAAGCGCCTGCCTTGCAAGCAGGCAGTCGTGAGTTTGATCCCCAAAAAGACAAAAAAAAAAAAAAAAAAGACAATAAATAAATAAATAAATAAATCCTGTCCATAGGAATCTCTAGTTCTAGTTTTGTTTTTTGGCTTTTTTTTGTTTGTTTGTTTGTTTTTTGGCTTTTAAGATTAGGATGGATGATTCTAAAATTTATTTGGAAAATTTAAATTGCAATGTAAAATAAATGCTTTCTATAGTGGAAAAATAAAATGAATTGTTTGCAAAAGATTAAAAGACTACTCTAAATTTAATTACACTGGAACAGTAGAAAGTTCTGAATTAGCCCCTAATTCTTATGGGATATTAGATTACAGTAAAAATTGCATCTCATAAGAGGAAAGGAAATAAACTATTAATTAACAACATTAAACTATTGCATGAAATTTTATATAGTAGTAGATGCAAAGGTAAATGACACATGATAACCTAGAGGAAGTATTACAACTCGCATCAATGACAAAGAACTGCTTTCCCTAATTTTGAAAGAACCAATGCAAGCAGATGAAAAGAGATCAACAGCCCAATAGAAAAATGAACAAACGGTATTGCTATGACTCGAATGTGTCTCCCCAAAGTAAATGACCCCTGAATCTCTAAATGGTCTCCCAGACTTAATCTCTGAATTTGTCTGCTAGCAGTGTCTGAAGTTGTGACCTTCAAGAAATAATTGGGATTAGATGAGCCTCCATGAGGAGGAAGAGATATCTGAGTCTGCAGGCTTGCTGTCCTGAGATTAGATAGATCAGATGATAGATAGATAGATAGATAGATAGATAGATAGGCAGAGATATTTCTACCTATCCAATTTCTCTGCAAAAAATACATGTACTATCTTTTATACCTGGAAGTGACTTATATAAAAGGTTTTCCATTACAGAGTTTTTCAAAGACCAAAGGAGTTTAACTAAAGTTCAAAAGGAACAGGGAAAATACTTTATGGTGCATTGTATAGTCCACCTGTAATAATAAGAGTTTAAAAATGAGAAAATACTTTAAACAGCAACACAGAAAGAGTTCTAAAATACATCAAGTAGAAAACAAGTCAAGCAAATAATAATAAAATAATAGTAATAATAAATGCAGTAAATTCATAAAATGCATATAAGGAAAAAGAAGAATGACCGAATTGGCTTACATGTGCATATAATTTTTCTAGAAGTGTGAACATAACGGGTAATTAACAGTGATTTCCTGTTGTGGAGTAATGAAGGGAGGATATTTCTCATGATGTTGAATATTTTCAGCATAGGAAGTACCCACTCCCAAATAAAATACCGCTTCACAAAAGTGTTTAACCTTGGAAAGTTAGCATTCAGGTATAAAGAACTAAAGATCTGTTGTATGTAACCACTCTGATGGCTTTTAATTTTTGCGATAGACATAAATAACTAAATGTGCATTTATATTTAAAAGGAAAAAGCAAGAAAAGAAAAACAGATCTGACACTGAAAATTAAGCAAAATGTTCTATTTGGTACCTTGTTAAAGAAAAAAATGTTTTTGTTTAGTTGCTGTTGTTGAATTAAATCCTTTTATGTAAGTGCCAGCCACATAGGCCAAGTTCATTATCAATCCCAGCACCAGCTCCCGTGCCCGTGTAAAGCCACGCACACAGACAGTAGAGGACAGCTTGAATCCAGCTGTGACCGACCACAAGAGCCTCACACTCCTCTTTTGACTACCAGTAGTGGAAAATAACACATCTTTTCTTTAAAAATAAAGACCACTAGAGGACCCCCCTAATCAGCAGAATATCAACTTAAAAAATTGTGAGAAAATGAAATAGTGTGGTTTTAAAGAATGTTCTGGATTTTCTCGGGTGTAAGTAGGAGACATTTTGTTCTAAAGAATCTTCACATTTCAAAAACAGAAATTCTGTGTGATTATGCTCTGCAGGAAACCATAAAAGTCGGAGGAAAGTGTGAAGGGTGACGTGGCCTGTCTTTTAAAGAACTCACTCAGAATCTGACAGGAAGATAAATTGGGTCAGTAGACAAACATGCCATTCCAGCAAATGTCGGAGACCAAAAGACAGGACCCGAGAGGACCAGTTAAATCAGCCTGCTCAGATCAAGAGATTTATGACAAGAAGAAATTACTCATAGCTGAACTGGGTCCTGAGTTTAAGTGTTAAAATCTCTGTGAGATTTTCAGGGCATTTGTCTTCTCTTGGAAGCAGTAGGCCAAATCCGATGAAAGAACATGCAAAATTATTGTGATTTATACTCAGAACATCAATTCTCTCCTAGAAGTATTTACATTATAAATATCTCTTGTTTTAAAAGGTGGTCTATCTTGAACATGAGAAAAAAAAGCGTTGATTTAAAAAATACTGTGATTTCACAGTAGGTAATCACTATTACTGGTTGCATTTGTGCTTGTAGAAAATTTTATGGTCATTTTGGGTTGCTATGTTCCTTTACTGAGATGAAGAATTACAATGATTATCTGAAGAATAATCCAGTTAAGGGATATAATCCTGCAATCTAGTCACATTTACTTTGTATTGCTCTAGCATAAACCTGTTGCTATAACTGTATTACTGTTTTCCCCACAATTTTGCCAAACTTAAAACACATTTTTGAGTCTATTATTTACTTTTAGTACTGGAGATTGAACTCGTGACCTCATGCTTGCCACGCAGGCACTGGGCTGCTGAGCCCAGCCTTGACCCCAAAAAACGTTTTTAAGAACAGAACACATGAATCTGCTTGTTTCCAATTTATTAAAAGCTGTAGACCGAAAAGTTGTTTCCATTCTATTGACAAGAAGGAAAGTTTTCTTAAGATTTAACTGATAAGAACCCTATGCCTGTCACTCCTTTTCCTTCTTAGCACAATTCTATCAACTTTGTCTTACCATTGAATTCCGACCTAAGAGACCGTCACAGACGCATCCTAAACCAGAATTTGGGGAGTGATTATTTCTCAAAGTCTTTGCCAGTCCAGCTGTGGGTGAACACTGCGAACCCATCAACTGTCTCAAAATGACCATTAGTTGTTTTTTTTTTTTTTTTTTTTTTCATTAAAAGCAAGGAGCCAGGAAGAGCCATGTATCAGGTTAGCTTTATCAAGAATTACCTCATAATCATGATCTTGACTAGGAAAGGGCTTGGGAACATAACGCCAGTTTATGGAATGTAGCCCTTTTGGTTTCGGGTAAAGACATCCCAGCGGCCAGTCCGCTCACTTGCTTTCAGCTTTGTCAGAGCACCGCTGAAGTTCACTGACCTTCTCCTGGGGTGCTCCTACCGGAATCACCTCTACACAGAGATCTTTTTTCTGGCAAAACATCTAAAGCAGCTTTTCATCTTTTATATCAGAGTCAGAGAGAAATGTGACCTCAAAGAAGAAAACATGCTTATTTTACATTTGTGTTCTCAGACTTCTATTATTCTTAGAGAATAACAAAAATTGACATTGTTTTAGTTATCTTTACTAAGAGAAAATGAACTTTGTTTAATCTCATTTGTCTTTCTGGAGACACACACACACACAACACACACAACACACCCATGAAACAAGATACTGGTGGATGATTGGGATTCAGTACTTTACACATATCTCATATCATAGAGTCTGACTTTGACCTATATTATATGGTCCTATTGCCCTTATTTTAAAATTAAAATCTCATGAGGTAAAGAAAGTCTTTAATAAAGACCTTTGTGATGCCGGGTGTGGTGGCACCTACATGTAATTCCAACACTGAAGCAGGAGGATTGAAAGTTCAAGTCCAGCCTGGGTGACTTAGTGATTTATCAAGACCTTCTCTCAAAAAATATGAGTATGGTACTCGACTGTAATCCCAGCACTTGGGAGGCTGAAGCAGGAGGATTGCTGTGAGTTTAAGCTCAGCCTGAACTGCATAGCGAAATCTTGTCTCAAAAAGACAAAAAAAGAATATTGTCCTCAAAAGAAGGACAATGATGCTCATTGGGACAATGATGCTCCCAGTGATCCCTCAAATGATTTCTTTGAAATCATTTCCCATTTTTGGCAGTAGCAGAGGGTGCACAGTCTGCCTCCAGTATCTGTCCCAATAAACCTATAGGCCCCTGAAATACAAATGAAAGAAGATACAGAGCTACAACACTGCAGTTACTTTGGGATGCAAATACCACTTAAATTGGTTTTGTGAAAATACTTGCCCAGCAAGAAATGTACTTCTTTCTTCTCCAAATACCATTTCCCTTTCCCAGGTCTTTTTCCCTCATTGAAGTGACCTCTCACGTGTCCTGTTACAACCACGATAAGAAAATGCTCTGGGCTACTTGATTTGTCTGTCTGAAAGGATAAGGTTCCCCCGTCAAAGCCTGGAAGAGGATGAGTGTGGAACAGCACTGATTAGAAGCTTATGTGTGGCAAGATGGGGGAGAGATCAGCCTGCCAGGCAAACAGAAGTTGGGTACAGTTGCACTTCCGACAGCTCTGGAGTGAGAAAGATTAAGTCAAAGCAAACGGCCAGTCCAAAGTCAGTCCATGAGCTCTGCTAGAACCTTGATTCACCTTCTATGAAATTCAGGGGTGGTTGACCTTTAACACTGACTCCTAACACCTCTGATTAATATCTGCAGCTCTACACATTTCTTCTATCCCTGGAAATGTAAGTTCTGTAGAATGATACCTTCTGTTCAAGCAGTTGATGTTTAAGTGTTCAGTATAGAAATTTAACAATGATCTCTGGGTGCCAAGTTTTAAGGATCTAGTACATCATGAAAGATGGCTCAACCTGAAACACGTGTGACCAGGCTGTGACGTGTGTCAGAGAGGACTGCTGAGGCTGACAACATCACTTGTGCCCTTGCGGTGAAATTAGATACCTGCTGTATTTAAAAATGTCACAATGGGTTCCGGAATTCCGTTGCACCCTGTGATGTTAGCACAGTAACACGTAGGGCTAATATACATTTTTAATCTTATTGCCTAATTGTCTCGATTCTTTTTTTCACTGTAATTCTGATCATTTGATATAACTATTGAGATCAAGAGACGGAGGGATGGGAGAGAGGAGAGGAAAAAGGGTGAAAAACAGGAATAAGAATGTGTTGTGTGCAAGCACCGACTCTACACAAGACGTGTAAACATTATGCGCTGCAAAAATGGACTAATAAAGATTTTTAAAACTTAAAAATTCAAATAGATACAAACACCTTTATATATATTCGTATCTAGAGTAACACAAACTGCTTCCACCGCTGCTTATTTAGGTCTTTTAAAAAATGCCATTTATTGATTTCTAACATTTTCTGGCAGTGTGTTTTTTTAGTTATCTGGTTAGAGCTTAGAAACAAGACAGTTAAGAAAGTGAACTCATACCAGCATGTTCTCCTTTGGAATGGAAACTTTTAAGAGAAAGTGGAAATTAATTTTTAAAGCGGGGTAAGATTTTCCTCATTTCTAATAAACTGCTGGCTCCTAACCACAATTACTGCGGTGAGTCAAAATTGACCTTTTTTATTTCTGAGTGTTTACAGGGGGAAAAAAACATTTTAACTAACAGCTCTCACTTCTAGGGTATTTTACAGACCATGTACAAAAATGCCTTTGTATATGATGAACAAATGAGACAATGAATAAAAAGGATGATCCCACAAGGCCAAGCAGCTTGTGATGTAACAACTGTGTGCCATGCTCAGAATGTTCGCACACCCACTCCTAGTAAACTGACTGGGTGGTGCAGAGCTAAGCCACGTTTTTAGTGAAGTTAACAAGGCGTCAGTCGGCAATGGGCCTAGAATGCAGTTACATTTGAAATGCATCAGGCAGAATACATCTCACCACTAATGCCTTCCCAAACTCTTGCTTCATACTCCAAGCCAGCTGCATGAAAGCAATCACGTTCTAATACCGAGTTCCAGACCACGCCAGGGCCCTTCTCAGCTCCTCTGTCTAATCAGCAAGATGGCGTTCACATAGGATTTGATGGTTTTCTTAAATATGGGTATGATTTAGTTTAAGAATTGAAAGAATAATTTCTATAAAGGGATGACAAAGAGTGTGACGTCGGTGTCATCACATGTTGCTTCAGGACCACGTGCTCTGTTCAAAGCCACCCTCGTGTAGACCTTGTCCAAGACCAGCCACAACCAACCACTTATAGACATCCCTTTACAGTACATAAAGATGCTTTTGGAAAAAGCACAGACCCTAGTACTTGGTCCCAGCCAGCCTTCGCAGACATCAATTCAGGCCAGTTCCGGTTTGGAGAGGTCAGTGTTTCATGCAACAATAAATAAAATGGAAGTAAAAATAATATTTAACTCCTTGAAGGCTGAGATATGTATTTTATGTGTTGGTATTAAAATGCCTCACCACTATGGAAAGTAATTAGAAGATGTGAAAAAAAATCTACAGATTTTGCCTACAATTATGGTATAGTTTCCAGTAACTTAACAACTAAAACAAATAAAAGTTTATCAGTAGTAAAATGTGCAAGATTATAGACATAAATTTAATTGCCAAATATTGAAAGTACTTTTTTTGTATCAAACCCAAAAGCTTGCCAGTGCTCTATCCAACCCCTGAGTGCTAAGTTTTTTAAATTACCTGTAAAATGAATAAATGGATCAGATCAAGCAATGCCTTCATTTACTATTTTTTAAATGACTGCCAAGCAGCATCTGAAAGCAGATGATGATAGAGGCATCTTTTGCAAGTTGTGTTCTTTGGAACATTAGTGAATAATTTAAGTAACTGTTAAAATGTGTCTCCAAAATTTTACAATGATATATCTGTGAAGAAGTATTTTTCAAGAGAAACACTTGCTATTTACTTATTTTCTTCTTTTATGTCTAGTTGTCTATACTACAAAAGACTTCATAAATGTTCTTCCATAACATTGTGCAGAATCTGATGTCAGCCTGCCTGGAAACGCACTACAGGTTCTATGTCCTGGAGCCACAGAATCTATTTCTGGAGTACTCGCGATTTAACTTGAAAATGTTGCATTATATTCTGAGTCCGTTTCATGTGTCATTTTGAGACAGGGTCTTTGACTGCCCAGACTGGCCTCAAACTCAGGACCCTCCTAGCTGAGCTTACCAAGTATTTGGGATTCTAGGCCTACAGCACCATTCCAGACTTCAAAGAAGCAGTTTAAGTACTTTGGTTTTGTACATGAGACAAATCTGGTATGACAAGAAAAACAGCTCACAGACAGGAAACAGAAATGAAGAGAGAGAAATGGCAAGAGGATTACCATTTCCCAGAAGAAACACAGTCCACAGTTGGTTCTACTTGTTGGACCAGCCTTTGGTTTATAGTTACCCTTTTCTCAGGTGCAGTGTTTAGGTTTGGTTTGGGGACGTTGTCACACTGAGGCACATGATGCACTGTGACAAGTAATCGGGCCAGAACCCCTGGCACACACAGCAGAGGGCTGTGGGTGGTGGAAATAGCTCAGGGAAGCTCTGATCCCGTGAGAAGGAACACCGACAGGTGGCTAGGTGTGGGGACAGATCCCCAGAGCCCTGGAGATGGCTGCATGCCTAAGCTACTGTCTTTTCACGTTTGTCCCTCAAATTGTTCAGAACCATAGAACTCTCTTCTATACACCATTTGCATCCCAGAATAAAAGCAGAGTCACTCTTGGTTGTTTATTTCATTTTATTAATAAAATTAGGCAACAGTCTGTGTAGTGATTGCAAAGAATAATAGAAAAAGTGGGAAATCCAGATACAGAGAGTTGAAACTAAAGTTGGAGGCTAGAAAAACATGACTTCAAATAGACTTCAAATAGAAGTCATGAAAATGGCCCAGGGAGGTGGACTGATGTTAGGTAGTGGGCAAGGGTCACAGTTTTGTAATGGTCATTTCCAGGATGAAATTCTTTTACATTAAAATGTGTTAGACTGTTGCACTCAAAGAGATGAGTACTGAATCCCAAGCAGTAAGTCTGAGGACATGCAGGGGATTCCAAGCAGCAAGGCCTGTCTGGGACAGAGCCACACAGAGACAGAGGAAAGGCTCACTAGCTGGAGAGAGCTAGACTCACATTGTACAGGCAGAGCCAGCCAGCCCAGCTAGCAACAGCACTGCTTCTGGCAGCAGCACTTCTGCTGGCAGCAGCCCTTCCCACAGCCGCAGCCACAGGAGCCACAGCCACAGGAGCCACAGCCACAGGAGTTGCAGCAGGTGCGGCGGCAGCAGACGACCACGGGGGTGCTGCAGCAGCCCCCACAGCAGCCAGCGCAGCAGGGGCAGCAGCCAGAGCAGCATCCAACCCGGTAGCATCTGCAGGTGGTGCAGCTGTTGCAGCCACCACAGCCACCACAGCCACCGCAGCCGCCACAGCCACCGCAGCCGCCACAGCCACCGCAGCCGCCACAGCCACCGCAGCCGCCACAACCGCCACAGCCACAGCAACCCATGGTGTCAGTACAAAGAACACAGGTGAGGGGAGGAGAGAGGACTCAGGAGAGCAGAGGAGTGTGATGCCACCTTCTGCCAGGGGCCCTTTTATACCATCTTGAGGAGGATGGTGATGAGTGACCCAGGACACATGATGAATGGTCACTTCCTTGTTACTATTTATTCCTGTATCCAGAAAAGCATCTAGAGTTCTGTCTTATTTATATCCTTGCCAGAAACATTTGGCTTAATACAAGTGCTAAAGTTTAAAGGTTAAGTGATTTTTAAATTATTCACTCAATTTAATAAATCACAAACATTAACAATCCAAGTAAAATAAAAATGAAGTAATAGGGAGTGAGTTCCCGCCCCAGGTCTCCTCCATTACATCCCTGATGGCAGGTCAGCTGGAAGACAGTGAGTTCTGGATCCCCACCTCATGCATTACCCACCCCGGGAAGGCAGGGCTGGCTGGAGGAGTGCAAGGCTGATGGGAACCCCAAGAAGCACAGACGGTAGGAACCCCGCTGCCCAGCCCTCTGCACTCCACTGAGGGACTGGCAGCCAATGCAAGAAGGACCCGAGATGCAGGAATGAGCCAGTTCAGAGGAACACAGGGAAATGTCAAGACAAAGGAGCAAAATACAGTCTGGGACCTCCAGACTACACAGAACAAGTCCAGCAGTCGCAGACACAGTATGTATTGTAAGTCACACACCTGAAATTTCTGAAAAGATATAACTGAAATAAAGAAGCAACTGAGTTCTTGTATTGCATGGTTAGTTTTACATGCCTATGGCTGATGTTCTGAACAGGTACTTCGGAGATAGCAAGAGACATTATGGTAACCATTGTTAATTTCCTATTATCTTATTTTGAAGTTCTGTATCACTTTATTGTTTTGTTTGGATTGGTTTTATTCTGTTATATTTTATTATGTCTGATAAAGATAAAAGATATGTTATAGTAGCCAATGTTGACTTCCTATTATCTTATTTTGAAGTCCTGTATCACTTTCATCACTTTGTTTTGATGGCTTTATTCTGTTTTATTTTCTTTGGTTTTATTCTCTTTAAAATAAAATAAAAAGTTTTTTAAAAGAACCAAATAATAGGGATATGTATAGAAATGATAAAATAGAAACTAAACATAAAATGGAATCATCTAAGTCAAAAATGAATTCTTCAAAAATAAAGTGTATAATGTTCCAGAAATATGAATCACCATTAAAGACATCACATCCCTCCAAAAAATATTACATATATTATTTATTAAATTCTAATAATTCAAAAATATGTATTTTTACTACTAGTTTATCTTAATTCATTGAAAACAAAAGTTTTTATTATTATGCTTCATTTTGTTGAATTTTTTTGGCTTATGTCTTGGACTCTAACTTGAAGATACTGATACTTATTGTAATAACTATTTTTATTCTCCTTATTTGACTACAAAATTTTATTTTTTCATAAAATCCAAGAACTATATACAACTGTAGACACAGCAAAAACTAAAAGAGAATATTGTGAATTTATGTCACTAAATTAGGAAATAGACCCAATGGACTTAGAAAATACAATTGATTGAAATTGACTAAAAGAATCACAATGAAGGAATGATCTTCAACTACTAAAGAGGCTGCATCAAAAGTTTAAAATCTTTCTATAAAAAGGAGAAGGAAAAGGAAGAGAAGGAGAAACCCAGAAAAGAATAAAAGCAAGTGGAACTCAGAAAAAGGTCATTCATTCAGTTAACCAGCTCCACTGACCAGGAGCAAACAGGTAATTTGTTATTCTGGCAGAAGGAAGGAGGTTGTGCTTTATATGTGCATCTTCTCCAAGAGGCACAAACTAAGGATGGAGACCACAGACTCCCCTGACAACCTTCCCAGTCTCAAACCCCTGCACACTGCATGATTTCAGGAAAGTTGCCTAACACTGTTGCATCTCAGTTTTCTGACCTGTGAGATGGGTACAAACGTGGCCTTCATGCACTCTTATGATGGTTAAATGGGTTAGAACATGCATGTCAAGTACCTTAAAAAGTACTGAGAATACCATAAGGGCTCAATCTCGACTACTATTACCATTAACAGTTAGTTTTGTAAATTTCAGATGCCCAGACATACACAATTTCTTGAGCTGCCCAAGATTTGAGCCAGGTGTCATATTGTTAGCATGATTTGAAGAGAGCCATGGTTCCAAAGCTTTCATGGTGTTCTCTGACTCGATAGCAGAGCTTGTGCTTTGGGAAAACTATGGTCACTGCACTAATAGGAAGAGAGGAGACCTTGAGACTGCGTGAAGCCCTGACATGAGCTGCCCTGAAGAGGTCCTGTGCCCACTGAGACCTTTTACCGGGAATTAATCCAGTCCATGATGGGAACCAGGTGTTGATGTGGTCCTTGCCATCAGCCTATTTTTAATCAGGAAGCTTTGGAAAACCACCCTTAATTTCTTCTACGTGCAACAGAGAAATAGAATCACCCCACTTCCTTTGCTCTCCATGGCTTCAATTTCTGCTCCTTTGACTATGGCCCAAATTAGAATAACATTTCACAAATTCATCTCCATGTATGTGGCTTTTTTTTTTCCTGCTTTAATATGGAGTAAATTAGGCATTTATTTCATTCAATTATGTCAGAAATTCAATTAAATACCTATATTTCCATTTTATACTTTCCAATTTTTGTTGACCCTATTTCCAAGCCCCTTCTATAGCTTTGGAGTCAAAAATTTATTCTGAAGACCCTGTAGGAAAGGCTGAGTCACAAAGACTAAGTGATTGTCACCAAAACAGAATGGGCACTTTTTTAGTGATGTTCATCAATCGTTTACAAATTCCTGATCCCTTCTTTAGTTTTCCCAGGACTTCGAGAACTTTAGAAAGAAGGAAAGGGGGGTGAACATACTGTGATAAAAAACTGTGGTGCAGTCATTCGATACACACTGTTTTTAAAAAATTCCTCTACCAGAGGCAGGGTGACTCAGACAGATAAGGATTGCATTTTGAAGGAAAGGAGAGACTAAAATTACCAAAGCCAAACTCTCAGAGCGTTTCTGGCAGTCCGTCATCCCACAGTAGGTTCCTTCCTATATGCACAGAACAAGAATCTTGGGTGACACTGTCGTTTCTTTTCACCTCCTTCATAAACTTGCTCTCAGTGTGTTTTTAAGGACAACGAACAGAGTGGAGGGACAGATGTGGGCTTCGGGACATTTTACCCAATTCTCAATGCCTGCTGACAAATGCCAGGCCCCTGAGCTAGGCCCAAGCATAGAGAGAAGAATGCAGACGGAGCCAGAGTCAGTCAGTGCTTGGGGAGCAGGTTGCAAAAGTCGGGTGACAGGAAAAATGCACTTGTGATTGCAGTGACCAGAGGCAGATGCCTGATCCTTGACCCTAAGACACTAGGTGGCTTTTGAGATCCTGGAAAGGGAGATTTTAATCAAAGAAAACAATAGGGGTGTAGGGTGTGGAGGAAGGGTGGAAGCTAATGATATAACAAAAATGTGAGTCTTCAGGTCGCTCATAAAATTAGGAACTGAAAATACTCTGGAAAGTTATCTTCTCTCAGAAGGTGTTGATGGGTAGCAATGATCTGTCTTTAATAACATGGACAGCTGGATTCCTTTCTGATGCGAGGTGAAGGCTTCATTCACCTGCAGTGAAGCAACTCTGACTTGGTCCCTCCAAGTGCCTCCTTGCTCAGTGGAGGCTTGCGGTAGACACTATCTGTGCCATCTGCCCTGTGGACAGGAATGTTGCAATCATGGCTGGTCATGACTGGTCCCAGGCCTGGTAGAGCAGAGTCCAGAGCTCCAGGCTCCCCCAGTTAACTCCTTATTTGCCAGCAAACCCTGTCTCTGTATAAAGCTTTTTCTGTTCTTGCTTCCTGACACACATATAAACCCAGCCACGCTTCATTCACCTGCTTCTAAACGCAGCCAGAGAACCTTATCTTTCCACTTACTGCTTCCCACGTTAGTTTTGCTCAGTCTCAAGCCTCTCCGCTTGACTTGTCCTGAACCGGAAGTTGTGACCCTGGAAACAGTTGGTTCTTCATTGCTAATGAGTGTGCACTCTGATAAAGGGGCCCCTCCCCTTCCAGGTATCAGGAAATGTCTTATCAAAGTAAAGCAATCCAAAGAGGTAAACATGGGGAAGAGCGGCTCCTCTCTCCCAGCTGCTTCCTCCGAACATCAGTTGTTGTTTTGGGGGCAACAGTCAAAGCCGTTATCAGTTTCTGCCCCTGGACCTCACTCCACATGTATTACCCTATCCCTGGAAAATACATTGTTCTTTCTCTGGTCTATCGATTTTAATACTGCCCACTGACTTTTAGCTATTACAGCAAAAGATTTAATTAAGTTAGATCACATCTCCCAAATAGAGACATATGATTGTGTCTTACATATCGCATATCATGATTGTGTCTTACAAAACAATTTACTGTTCTTTTTATGCCTTGTACCGCTCAAACATGAACTATTTTCCCTCTCCTGCCTTTTAAAATGACATTAGAACTTGAATTTCTCTTTATTTCCCCTCTCCTCCCGGTAGCTCTCTATAGTCTCTTCTTCATGATATCTGGGTTAGTAGCATTTTATCATTTCTATAATTATTGACAGACTTTCCATGATTTGACCCTAGAGGAATTCTAAAAGTTAAAAACCCGTAACAGTAATTGCATAATGATGGTTGTGAATACTGGTCTGCTCCAATGCATTAGGATTATATATGGGGTAATGTATGCATAGTTATGAGTTGTAAATACTGACCCAGGCAGGCATGCATGGATTGTGTATTGCATAACCTTTTATGTGTTCATCTCATTCATTCTTAAACTCTTCTCTGTCTCTAACAAAAGGATTGGCTCCATTTCCAACCGCCGGCATATCTGGGCTTTCCTGAGATTTTCAAGTGGCTTTGAACTTCCTGTTTATGGCTAGGACTCTGTAGAAGTCTTGGTAATGCAGTGTTAGTGTGCCAGCTGTGTGAGGAGTTACACCTTCCTATAGCAGGTATTAAGGGGTTAGGGTCCTATTTACCGGCCCAAGAAATAAACATGTAAAAGAATGAACTATGTTTATAAGGCTCTGCAGACAGCTATGCCTGTTTATGTCACAACGGGTAAAAGAAAAGATGAGGATGTATGAGCTCTTAATGGGATAATGAAGTAGGGGACATGTTTATTCTGAGAGAAAAGCTTTTATGTCAGAACAGAAAGGGCCAGACATGGTGGAGTATCCCTGTAATTCCAGTGCTCAGAAGGCTGAGGCAGGAGAATCATTGGTAGTTCAAAGCCAGCCTAGGCTATGTGGTTAGTTCAAAGCCAGCCTGTGCTACATAGTAAGAATCTGTCTCAAAACAATAAATAAAAGTAAAACAAAGCAAAACAGTGGCAACAGCAAAAGAATAATTTGTATGGAATATTTTTAAAGAGAATAAAACAAAATGACAAAACAGAACAAAACAATGCAAGCAACACAGGACTTCAAAACAAGACAAGAGGATATTAGCAGTGGCTACCATAACGTCTCTCGTTTTCTTTGAAAATGTTGTCCATACCTTCACACACAGTAATATCAAACATAACAAAATAGTATAAAACCAGTCAACAGAAGGAAAGCAATATGGAATTTTTTAAGGACCAGATTTCATCATTTTGCCCAAACTAGACTCAAACTCACAAACAGCTCAGCTATTGGCATATGTGACTGTGCTGGGATTACATGGATTTTTATTTCTACTCTATACTGGGGGACGTACTTTGTGTAAGTGAAGGAATAATTAAAACATTGTTGAGTCATTATTTGCCCCAGATTGGAGACAGGATACAATATTTACTCAAAATTATGTGCCATTGAGTGCTACAGCAAAGCAGAGGATCTTAGCAACAACTTGCTCTGTTGGCAACAGCAGCAGCAGCAAGCTAGACGTGAGCTCCTGAGGCAGAAATGAGGAGAGTCTCACTTGCACATCGCCCCCTGGTGCACAGACGGAGCCAGCACTCTCTGAGAAGTAGGTACTCTCTCTCTCCCTGTGCATTTGAGCTTTCAATGCAGGAACCTTCATGCAAAAGGTTAAATCTGTCCACTGCGTGCCTTGAGGTGGCCATCTAAAATGGTAAGTACCTCCAGGAGTGGTGGTGCATGTCTGTACTTCCATCAATCTGGGAGGCTGAGGCAGGAAGACTGCAAGTTCCAACTGAGCCTGGGCGATTTAATGACTTCACAAGATCCTGTCTTAAAATATAAAATGAGCTGGGGATCCAGCTCGTTGCAAAAGCCTCAGCTTCACTCCCCAGTACCACAGTAATGATGATAGTGATGTGCTCATCACAATGAAGTTTGATGGTAATAATAATATATGGGTATCACGAAAAGGTCACTTAGTTCCTATAATAAATGGAGCATGAATTATTGAAATCCACTTATTTGATGAATCACTAAAAATATGACCATTAGGTGTGGTGGTGCATGGTTATAATCCCAGCACTCAGGAGGCTGAGGCAGGAGACTCACTGTGAGTTTAAGGCCACTGGGACTACATTGTAAGAGCCAGTTTCAAAAAAAAAAAAAAAAAAAAAAAAAAAAATCTGATGCCAGATTCTTCCAGTAGGTGTCACTAGCTCACTAGTAGTAAAAACATGGGATCATGTTGGTTTAAACAACATTTGGAGCTGAAATTGTTCAAAGACCCACTGACTGGATTTCAAGAATGCATGCTCCATTTTATCACATGGGGAAATAAGTGCCATTTAATGCACGCATCCTTTTAGGCCCTCACTTGAACTGCACACCACAAGGAGTCCTTCCTTGGGAGTGGCTGGCAAAAACAGCAGAGAGAATAAACAAGACTTTGGAACAATTTGAAACAGAATGACAGGAAGGAATCTGAGAATACCATTCTTCAATCTGGAAATCATTTAAAAACAAAAAAAGTGAAAAGCTTTGCATCCTAGCAAAACTGCTGTCTTAACTATATGATCTTCAACTCTGTTCACAAGGGCTGGTCAACATATATAATAAACAATTAAATTTTAAAAGTTTATTACAATGAGAGACACATGGTCATTAGTCCTTTCAGAATTACGCACACACACACACACACACACACACACACACATCGTCATGCTTGTCAATTTCTGGAGCAGTTGCCAGAAGGTCCCTTTTGTGGATGTCTTAATAATGTGTGAAAAAATATGGTGAATAGTGCTGTGCAGTGCCAAGGTAAGCTTGCATAGACATTAGAGTGTGCCCTTAGCCACCTTCATCATCAGATCTGGCACCGTTTACTGCTGGCTCTTCCCCAAAGCCGAAGTGCGTATAAAAGGTAACTGTTTTGAATGGATTCAGAGCACGAACACAGCCATGACAGCACAAGAAGACTTCCAGCACTGCTGCAGGAAGTGGCCAGAATGGTAGGATAAGTCCTTTCACAGAAAAATGGGGACTTGAAGAGGATTGGTGGCAAAATGTCTTTTACCATAACAAATTATAAAACAATTTAAACATCCACCATATTTTTTGGTTACACCTCATACATGACCTTGGATTTTACAGCTCTCCAAATGTCTGCTTTCTCAGTCAAAAAGCTAGAAACAAGGTCCACTGCATCTGTCCATGACCATCAGCAACACTGCTGCTTGTTCTGGGTATGGAATCCTGGAAGCTGTGGATCTTGGAGGAGTAAGCCAAGTCTGAAACCTCACAGGACAGTCCTGTGCTGCTGAATCCCACAAACTGCCCCAAGAGCTTAGAATTCTTCTTCTGCATCATGTGACTTTCTCCAGCAGGGAGAAATAAATCTGACATCATATTTGCCAGAGAACTGAGTTGCTTCCACACAAATCTGTCCAAAACATGGACAAGCAATGGAGTTCCCGACATAGATAATGATTCTATTAATCAAAAAAGAAGTAAAGAAAGGCAAAGGTGAGGAGGTTGGAAGGAGATCAGAAGGACCTCATGAAGCTGCAGAGACGCGACGTGGGGAGTGGCTAGGAAGGGGAGTAACCATTAACAAACCCCGAAGACCCATGTTCTTCTTGTTTTTTTTTTTTTAATCGGTGTCGGGGATTGAACTCATGACCGCCTGCTTGCAAGGCAGGTGCTTATGCCGCTGAGCTAAATCCCCATAAGAAGGAAGGTGGACTGAGAAAGGAGTCTTTGGAAACAAGAAGAGGGAGAACTAGAAAGACAAGATGCATCCTGCGTGGGCTCTAAACCCTGCAAGATAACAGCAGAACATGGAATGAGGAGTTGATACCAAAGAATTCAGTCATCCAGGAAGAGAGATCAAGGAGTCAATGGACATCTGCAACTAGGAGAAAGGGGTGTCCAGCTGAAGGAGCTTCTCAGAAATGAATGACCCCATTTTCTCTCTAAGGGTTACCTCTAGCAACTAAGCGCCCAAGGTCACTGGATCCAAGTGTGCAAGGTCATACCTGAGAACAACAGTGCTGGTGTGTGAACTCGGGAACCTAAAAAGCCCTGGAACTGATATTGCTCTTCTGTTAATCATGGGAACTGACCTTCATCCCACTCCTCCCTCAAGACTTCTTATTCTGTTACCTATTTACACCCCCCACACACACACACACACACCTCTCCAAAGAGACCATGGTCCTCTCTTAGCCCTGTCAGTTGAAAAGTTAGGTTTATTTCTGACTTTCTCAAATTTTCTGTCTTAAATTCAGAGGGCAGGAGGGCTACAGTAGCTGAAGCTAAGACAGAAGGCAGAAGAGTTTCAGCATCTCTAGGACAGCAGAAACGTATGGAAAAGAAGGCTGGGCGTTCAGCTGTTAGTTCAGCATTGGTGTTGTGCAAACAATACACAATCAGCCGAGACGTGATTATGGACAAAGGAAGACAGTGGGCTTCCAGAAAACGGGAGACTCCAGCAGGGCTCCTAGATGGCTCAGCAGATGATCATTTCATCAGTCACCAGCACAAGAAGGATCCAAGAAATCCCACAGAGACAGGATCTCCTATTTTCTATGAAGGCTAAGTACTGTTGATGGAAAGCAGTCAACTTCAGTTTGACCCCCGGCACATTTTTCTGTTACACTCCTCTCTCCTGATGTCCTCTGGGTTCAGGCTCTGCACCCACTCTGCATATACAAGAGTTTGGTGGCTGTAAATTAGAACAGTATTCACTCTGTCACAGGGAGGAGGACAGTTCATCAAATAGGTCTCCAAAAAAAGGCTCCCGTCATTTGTGCTCACCTTATCAAGGACAGAGTGGGTAGTAGCCAAGATGGTGCAATCTGAAAGGTCATTTCTCCCCCGCTGAGAGCCAGAATTCCATCCAAGGTGATCACACTTCTGATAAGTGCTATCTTCCGAGGTGAACATTATTGATCTCTAGACAGGGTGAAATTCCCCACAGGGCAGGTGACTGTGCCTATTGAGCATAAACACTGATATAGAAACACTTTGAGGTCTCACTGCAGACAAGATTGACTCCCACACAAGAATTCCAGTATTTAGCACATCACATTTATTTTCAGGCTTTGTTTCATATCCAAGAACATACACACGTACGCATGCACAGTCTTTCACTGCCCACTCCCACTGCCTGATGATCAGCAGGGGACAAAGGAGGATAAAAGGTCACATGATTGGAGGAGAGAAGATAAGATCCTGTGACGCTCAGCAGGGAGGGGAAGATGGGCCTTCAGACAAAATAATAAACTCTCGACTCCTCTTGGAAGGAGTGTTGGCAACTTCATCATCTATCACCACCTTCTGGTTCTCCTTCATCCACAAAAAAAACCACGTGGGTACTTACCCGGCCTCTGGTAAGTCTAGGTGACCGCAGGGCAGTCTGCCACTTAGACGCAATCCCAGGAGATTTAGAAAGCCGAAGGCTAAGGGAGTGGGGTGGGAATTAGCTGTTATTCTCCAAATAAGTGATCTTAATTACAAAGCAGAATTCCTTCTAAGAGGTCTCTCAGTAAATCCAAATATCTACTCCCTAACAGTATTTAAATGTAAGCTTCCTGAAGTCTGAGTATTCTTCAACAAAATGATGGTTCGAAAAAATACAAAGTGATAGAATTATGGCAGCGACTGAAAAGGTAAGAAATATGAAATATAAATGACCTTTATTTTAAGAATGCGGGGAGAGACCCCCCTACCCGACCCTCTGGGGTCTGACATTGTCTCCCAGGGGTTGGTGAGCTCTCCTTCGGACACGTGGAGTGGGGGCATACATGTAGCTTAGGTTGGAGGTGGAGCCTGAGGGGCATTAGGGATACACAGGTATCTCACTGGTATTCATTTCTTGCCAGAGCAAATTCCTAGGGGTGGGGAAGATAGAGCTCCTTGGTTCCTCCTGAGGCTTTACCGGCTACAGTGTCCCGTCTGGGTCACAATCCTTTCACAAAGCTACTTGATCAAATACTAGAAAGTATCTAATATTGTGCTTTCAATTTTTCTATACATATATACAGCATTCATATTATCTGGGTACTATTAGAGCTGTTTTGTAAAAGACACTGGCTTTCATCATTTTAACACATCCAACATTATTTATAGATATATATTATATTTATCTCCAACTGGTTCTTCTTTTCTGGATAGCTCTGATGCAATAAAAAAGACCTTATATCATATACTTTAGTAGAATTAATTAACCCATCCAATATAAGCTAGGTGTGCATCTATAAAATTCTAGGAACACAGGAGGTACCAAGGTTTCTTCTGCTCCAGCTGTTTCAAAGGAAAGAAACCAACCACCACAACAAAACAATAAGCATACAAATATGTAACAACTACCTCTGTAACTTTAACTCAATGTCTGAAAACTCATTTGGTCTCAAACTTTATTTTCAATATGAATAGAATCGAGGTCATTGAAAACACATTTAGAAACAGTGGACTTAAGGAACAAATCTGGCTCTCAACTCCCAGGTTCTAAAATCACACAAACCCAAGAAGCCCAAGCTTCCAGCTGACAGATACATGACTTTGAAATAAATGGAAGGAAGAGAGGGCTGATTCTAAACTTCTTTTTAACAGCAGGACTTTTCTTACCTACAGGTTCTTACATGAAACATCTAAAACAAAACAGATAAAACCTGACATCTGGTTGAAGCTGGAGTCCAGGAAACTCTGTCCAGCATGCTGGGACCACACCGCCCCTTAGTGTAATCTTCAAGAGAAGTAAAATTATCATGACTACAGAACTCTCAAACTTTCAGAGCTGAAGTTCTGATGCTGAGGATCCCAACCAAGAGGGACAACATCACACGAAAAATTGTGAGAAATGAAAAGTCTTGGCACCAGTATTCCCCAGAAAGCCCAATTAGTAACTGTGAATAAGGCCCGAAAGTGTGGAAATCAGTCCTTCAGATAAAAACAATCCCAGCTCAGTCCTTCACTCCCTGGGAGGGTAGATATTTTCTGTACCGTGTTCCTTTCAATTAAGAGAAAAAATAGGCATGGGCACAACCTATTGGAAACCAACCTATTGGAAACCACAAACACAAATGTTTTATAGTTAGCATTCGTTCAGCAGTTCTTGCTTTATGCTGTGCCTTGAGACACACGTGAGTTTTATTCATTCCAATAACTCTCCTTAGAGTCAATTTATTTGTAGCGCTGCTATAATAACAAAAGAAAGTTCTAGAAGGGACATGGTGCTATTGTCTGAATCTGGAATGTCTCTCAAAGGCCCATGTGTTGAAGGTTTTGTCCTCAGCCAGTGACACTACTGGAAAATGATAGTGTTGCAGGCAACTGAGTTAGTTAGAAATATAGACAGAGAGACAGGCGAGGTCCTTGAAGGAGCCAGTGCAGAAGCCCAGATACCTTGCAACTATGGGGGAGACAGGCACCTCCTGCTGAGGGCCAGGCCTCAAGACAAAAAACCAAGCAAATGCATCCATATCCTAAGGACTGATACTCTAAATAGTTCCCTATCACCCTGAGGAAGTCAGGAGTCACCATCCAACCCCCTGGGGAAGAGTCCCTGCTCTCTAAGAATGCCTGCTTTCTATGTGACTCACTTCCCCATTTGTCCCCAATTTAATCATCAATTTTATACCTGAACTATTAGTCTTATTGGTTAACCATAGTTCTATCCCACTGTGTGCCCATCTGCCTTGTGAGTGCCCAGTTTTCCCCACCTTGAACCCATCTCAACCCATGATTTTACTCTAAAAGTCCCTGGGAAAGACAGAGTCCTTGGCAACCTGCTCAGAACTCCTTCTGTCTCTCTCTCCAGACAGCAGCTTTCTTTCTCTCAATAAATATATTCTGTTCTTAACCTTCGTTGTTCCGAAATTCATTCTTCGATTTTGGAGAACGCGACCTCATACCGGGCATAGCAGATCAGGAGTTTCATTCCCCTGTATCAGTAGGACCTAGTGAGAGGTGGTCAAATCACTGGGAGAGTGTTCTTTAAGGGGATTATGGAACCTTAGTAGGGGGGATTATGGAACTCCAATAAGGGAATTATGGGAATCCAGTGAGGGATTCTGGGACTCCAGTAAAGGGGATTATAGGACCCCAGTGGAAGGGCTCATGGGACCTCAGACCCTTGCTCCTCCTTGTCCTCGCTTCTACTTCCCAACCACAAAGTGAACAGTTTTGCTGTATGGTTCAGTTCCACCCTGAAGCACCGCCTCACCACAAGGACACAGCAATGGAGTCAATCAATCATGGACTGAAATTTCCAAAACTGAGCCAAAATGAATCTTTTCTCCTTGTAAGTTGTTTTATCTCAAATATTTGGCATTTGTTATAGAAACAAAGCTGACAAACACGTGTTCATCATTTTCTTTTTATATTTTTTTTTAATCCTCCACTCTGATCATCTTTAAAACTCCTGTGGTGATGACGCCAATTGTGAAGGACAGGTTTTGCACTGAGAAGTAGAAGTGCAAACCCGTACAGCTAACCCATGCTTACCACTTACACAGAATGGTATTTTTGGCGTGAGTCTTTTTGTTTAGCCAGGCCACACTGTGTGTACTCTCTGCTCATGACTTGGGTGCTGGCTAACAGTGCCTGAGTGAGTTACAGCAAGTCCACCATGGCTACCAGAGAATTAGTTTTCTTCTGTCTCTCAGCTTCCTTCCTTCCCAAATTGTACCTGAGCATTGAGTTGGATGCAGACTCTCCTACAAACATTGGCATGTCAGGAGAAAGTGGTCAGTATAACATAAATCTACAAATATAGTAATGACTAAACCATAAAATATGTTTACTTTTTATTTTAAAATGACAATTTTTCTAAAAGTGAATTCGATTCCCCCCACATCAGTTCTGCATTCCATATAATGTTCAGTTTTTAAAACTTATAATCTTTTATGAGAACATCTAACAACCATATGGGATACAGCCAATCTTCATTTTCATGAAAGATATTTATGGGTAGCTACAAAAACAGACTGTAAAGTTTCACTATATATGTAAATAAAGAGTCATCTCTCCTATTTCTATTTGACAATAATGAAAGTACAGAAATACAGCAAACAAGAACAGATTTAAATGAAAATTTTTTCAATCCTGGCGATTGAACCCAGGGCCTCATACATACAAAGGCCATCATTCTATCTGATGCTACACCCCCAGCCCTCTTAAATTTATAACGTACAATTAATCTCATATTTTGTGCACATGATTAAAATTCAAATTAGGTATTAATAGAATCTCTGACAGTTACCTAGAGTGGCTGTAATAAACTCCCACAAACTGAGTGGTCTTAAACACATACCTATTGTTTCAGAGTTCTAGAGGCTAAAAGTCTTAAATAGGGATGTGGAAAGGGCCAGAAACTCAAACGGAGAATTCTTCCTTACACCTTCTGGCTTTTGGTGTTTACTAGTGATGCTTGATATTCCTTGTCATGCAGATTGTTTAGCTCAGTCTCTTTTCTGGGTTGTCTTCTCGCTTTCTGGGTTTGTCTTTCTCTGTCCCTTCTGTTTCTTATAAGGATGATGGTCACTGATTAAGGGCCCACCTACTCCAGGAGGATTTCATCTTACCTAATTACATCTGCAACGACCATGTTCCAAAAAGATCACATCCGAGGTTCTGTGGTGTGGTGGATTGGTAACTGGTGGTCAACTTGTAACACCAGCTGAACTGAGTCAGGGTGGAGCTGAGTGTGGATGGCCCATCCAAGGATTTTCACCAGCATAAAAAGGAGAAATGGAGGGGAAGAGGAAGTGTTGTTGGTTCTTCTGGATATTGTTAGTTCTCCTGTTAACGTTGGCTCTCCTAGAGAAGCTTGTCAGGCTTCTTTCCTGATATGAACTTGGCTGTTCTCATTGTCAGAGGAACTCAGGATCTTGTTGTCATGGAGAATGGCTGTGGTTCACCTTGGAGGAGCTTTGGTCTTTATTTTATTGCTGGTCTTTATTTTACTGCTTCTTGGCTCTGGAGGGGAAGATGATGTGGCATTCAATCTTCAGGAGAAGCTTGTCAAGCTGGCTTCCTGATACGAACTCAGCTGTTCTCACTGTTGGAGGAGCTTGGGACCTTGTTATTGCTGAGGATGTGTGTGGTATGCTTTGGGGGAGCCCTGGTCCTTATTCTGAGCATTGCTGCTTGGCTCCAATGCAGATCTCTCAGCCTGCTGGCACCAATCCTTCATCCCACTGGCACAGACTTTCTAACTTCCACCAATGAACTTGGAACCTTCTCAGCGCAGATTCACGAAATAGACTTGCATGAGTCATTGTCATAGGCTCTCCAGTTTGACTCATGGGAGGCACTGTCGTGGGCTTTAGGTCTTCACCTGAACTCATGCAGGACATTGCCATTAGATCCAGGACCTCAGCTGGATTTTCTGAGTCTTATGTGTGTGGACAAATTTCCTGCACTTTCTTTGACTCCTTGTGTGACAAGTACACATAAGACTATAAATTATGTGTTTTACATGTAATCATTTTCCTTGCAAACCCTGACTACAACATGGGTGTTAGAATTTCAACATGTATTTTTGGGAAACCGAGTTAACTCATAATAGTCTTCCCTCTAGGCCCACAAAACTCATGTCCTTTCCACGTTCAAAATACATTCACCCCATCCAACACCTTCAGAAATATTAATTATTTTAGCATCAAATCTAAATCCAAAATATCATCTAAATGCCATTAATTCAAGGTCCCAAATTTCATCATTTAAATCAGCTGTAGATGAGACTCAGCGTATGATCATATTGAGCCAAAATTCCTTTTCATATATGAATCTGAAAAACTAGGAAACAGTTACATAGCTACAAAATACAATGCCTCTGAGAGACCACACCAATCCACAAGGGAGAAATTGGAGGACAAAAGGAGTCGTAGGCCCCAAGCAATTCCATTAGAATTCAAGGCTTAAAACAGTAGCCCACGGCCTGATGCTTTTTCCTTTGGTTACTCTGTTGGGCTACTGGGACAGTGGCACTATCTGGGGAGCTCTGTCAAGCCAAGCCTCTGCATCCATCCTCTTGAGGATATTCTTCCTTAATTTTGTTCTGTCTCTTTCCATCCAGAGCAGTAATGTTTCTGTACGTATAAAACTCTCAAAGACCTTGTCTGCCTCTCAGACAATCACAGAGACCCAAGCCAACAGACAAGAGGGCCCTCTATGTATCTTTCCTAAACAACTGCTTCTCTATTCTTAGTTTCTGCCATTTCTGTGGAAATCAGGCTTTCACATTTGATCTGCAAACTTCCCCAGCTAAAATGCAAGTTCATCATCACATGCAAGTTCCACTTTCTTCCAGTGGTACAACATAATTCAGCCAGGTTCACTGCTATTTAGAACAAAGATCACCTTTCCTTCAGGACCCAACAACATTTTCCTCTTTTCCACTGAGACTTCACCAGAATTAGTTTTGATGTTCATAATTCTAGCAACATTCCATTCACAATGATAAATGCATTCTCTCAAACAAGAGAACCTTTCTCTATGGCTACCCTCAATTCCTTCTGAACCCTCCCCAGAAATGCCTTTAATGCTTATATTTCTAAAAGGTTACTTAGGCTTCTCCTCAATGCTTCAAAATGCTACTAGCCTCTACGCATTACACAATGCCACGGCCACTTCTACATGCAGCTATTATAGAAGTACCCTACTTGCCAGTGTCGAAATTGATACCAAATATTTCACTGGTCTCTCTGATTCCTTGGGAGACAAAGAAACATGCCGTTGAAGTGAGTCACTGACCGAAGTTCACAGCACTCAAATAGCAAGTGTCACTCCTGAGAATGAACTGGGAGACTGTTGGCCCCATCATTTTTAAAAATCACCCATGTATATTACTCACCATTGCCAGTAAGAAGGGGAGGTTGGGAAATGTTGGGTAGAGTGCTGAATTAAGTAATCTGGATAAAAATACTTTAATACTGAGTCATGATGAGCTAGACTATAGAGATCATTTCCCTTCAGCTCTTCAAAGTACATACAGTAAATGTACATGAACTATAGAGAGAAGACGAAATGAATCAGTAAAATATCTCACTGGGAAAGTATCACACAGACAGAATATCTCTGAGCAGAACCTCACTGAGCCGGCCAAGTGTTCCTTAGAGTGAATGTCTGTGAATACGTAATTTAAGGAAAGATAAGGGTGATTTATGAGTTTTCTGATGTAATTTTGTACTGATAGAATACTTTTAGACAATGTAATTCCTTAATGGAAAGTTCTTTTTGCAACCTTTGGTGAAATACAGTTTAAATCTTTCCTTCTTCTCATAAGTTGGTAATTGATTATACATTTTATATAGATGATCAACAGTCCATATTAGCTGGGTCTGACATTGTAAGCTTTTATTTTATCAGCAATGCATCATTCTTTACAATTCCCAGGCGACCTGGGCCAGGATCTGATTCAATAAAATACACAGCATTAGTTGCTTTAGATGCTACCCAGAATCCTCGCCATTGAACTGATTTACTCCTCACAAATAGTAAAGTGAATAGTTTTCTCTACCATCTTTGTATCAATGGTCCTCAAAAGCATAAACAAATAATGTCAGAAAGCTACAAATAAATACCACTGGGAAAAAATCTGATGGCAAGCATCACAGTAAGAGCTGGAGGGCTCACGAGATGCCCACTGCTGGGAGCGCAGCCCTCAGGCTCAGGACTCTTCTGCTGACAGCTTGGTGGGATGAATTATGGACCAACTTTTGGATTCAGATTCCACTATTTTCACGGCATCCAACTTCCTGGACAAGGCTAGGAATTTGCATTTTAACATAATTGGGAACAAATCAAGACATTTGCTAGGTAACATTTTACCTGATTTTCCAATGACCTTTGAAACAACAGGTTAAAAAGTAACTAAAAACTGCTATCTGCAAAATGTTAAAATGTGTGCCAGTAGGATGACCTGGAGTTGAGACTTCAATGCTTGAATTTTTTTTTTAGTTACTACTCCCCTGTTAATTTTTTTTTTTTCTTTTGTCTTTTTCATTTTTATCGGTACCGGGATCAAACTCACGACCGCCTGCTTGCAAGGCAGGTGCTTATGCCACTGAGCCAAATCCCCAGCCTCCCCTTTAGTTTTAAAAACAGAGAAATGTCTTGAAATTAGAAAGACAGCCCTATAGAAGTACTGCTTGAGTCTTTCATGTCTAGTTTTTTTGCACCATTCAGTTTCAGATAGGCTACATAATCAAAGGGTATGGTACTTTTTATGTTTTCAAATTTCTTCCTACATAGTCATTAGTTTTCCATAGACCATAGAGAAAGCTCTTCTGTTCAACAGGGCTACACAGACAGAACACTGACAGAGAAAATAACAAGGCTAGCTTTCCACAAAAAAGAAAGAAAGAAAATGCCAGCAGGGGGCAAACTTAGTGCCCAGGCTAATCAGAGTAATAGAAATATTGGAGAAGATTTGCCCTAAAAATTCCTCTGTTTGGTCCTTGTAATGGTCTCCTAATGTAGCCAGACCTCCCGGTCCACCCATCTGGAGTTGACTTTATACTTTTACAAGTATATTCCATTTGGAGGGAATCAGAGCGACTGCATTTCCAGTGTGCAAACCTGAAGCATCCTCTCTTGGCCTCCTGCTAAGTGATATGCCGTCCATGCCCCCAGTGCCTTTGATGGCTCAGATACTGGGACAGACCCGTGGGGTGCAAAGCCAATCCCTACTCCCAAGGAGCTCTGGAGCTCTCAGGAAAGTATAGTTATTACTCTACCAATTCCTTTCAGACTCATCAGTACTGCAAATTGCATAGCTTACATTTGCCAAGGTCATAGCTTGCGCCAGGCATTTCCTGTAATGTGTTACCACATGTGATCCTCACAGCGCATTATTGTCTCCACTTCATAGATGAGGAATCTGAGGCACAAAGAGATCTGACACTCTGCCAAGGGTCACCCGTGGGTAAGGAGCAGAGAAGGCTTTGGACTAATTTTCTGACTCAGATCCATGCCCTTATCTGCCATTGCCACAACATCTTTCCAGAATGAAATGGGCCATCCTGGAAGGAGGGAGAGGAATGAGAGGGTAAGGGGCATCATGGAGCAGACTGGGCAGGCGTCACTTCTCCCAGAGCTGTCTGTCACCTTTGTAAAGAGAACCTTACCATTCGTAACAGTTTTTTGCTTCTCAGTATTAGCAATGTACATGGGGAAAAAATAGAAGCAGGAACTAAATAACAGCCTAGAACTCTACTTCTAAGTGTTGCATTTCTTTTCACCCAAGATGTGATCAGGTTTCCATATCATGTGATTCTCCTGGAAATATGTACTGTATTTAAAACAGTGAAAGGACCTGGATGCATGACAGTTCAAATTTATTTAAGTTACTTGTGCTAAGTGTTCACTTGGGCTTGATACTTTATAAAGCAAGAATCTATGTGTTTATACATATTTACTCCTGAAAGGGTGTTTTAGTCTCCACATTTAATTACTCGTTAAAATGAATTTCCCCACAATCAATAATTACACGTTAATAATCTCATGATGAGGCTATGATACACATGTTTGCTTTGGTCATAACTTTTTCCTGTCTAACATCTACCAGTCCTGCCTGCCCACCTCCAGCCCAAGATCTCTGCTTCAGTAGCAATCCCCTGGTTTTGTTTGGTTTGGTTTTGGTTTTGTTCTAACTCTGAAAGACTAGAGTAGGATTTGACTAGCCATATTTGAAAGTAGCTTTTCAGTAATGACCTCCCCCTCTTGGTGTATAAAAATTATTTCAGTGCTCATCTTCATTATCTAGAGTCTATATCCATATGCCAATGAGCATAGCATTGATATTTTACCTAGGTGATCAGGCAAATATACAGCAAACACCTGTTTGGAACTGAATGGCAGAGAAAGAAATGTATGCTGGTCAGTCTTCTGTCTTTCCAAATCACTTTTTAATGTTTTGTCAGAACTCCAGCTAAAGTATGTAATCAGACCCACTTTGTCAAAGGCAAATGGATCCTGAGATTGACACGCATTATCTCCACCATGTGTCAGACCCTCAGTTCGTGTCACATCCCACTGTATCAATCTTCAAACTTGCCCAGTGTAATCTTCCAGAATATGGAAGACATCTGTCATGGTTTATGTCTGTGGCCCCCAGGCCTCATGTATTTGCATTGTGCATTTGTGATAGGTTTATTGTCTAGTGCTTGGATTGATGGTGTCAGTGCTACACCCACATAGGGGTGGAGCCAGGATGTGATATAATGGCAGGAAGAGGGTGCCTGTCACTCTCTTTTGCCAGTTCCTGTTTGCTGTTTGCAGCCACCATGAACTGTGGCTCTGCCATGCCACCCTGCCTTGGGGCTAAATGAGTATGTACTGAAA